GTCCAAGGGTCATTTTGATTCGCCCTGGTGCGTATGATGCAACACGATATCGAATGATTGATATCATGAAGGTTTGAAGCACTTTAAAATCTTATTTAATATTTTTTACTCTCATTCATTGAATTTTTTCTCATAAATTAGGTTGCAAACATGATTTGTGATATTTTGTTGATAGAAGACGACAACTTAGTCATTTCCGGTGAAGTTGCTGTTGTAGATTTCAAATACGTTACAAAAAGTCATTTGCTGCAGTTAGATCCATTGCTGGTTAAGAAACTCGCTGTGCTGAATCAAGAAGGTTCGCCATTGAAACAGAAAGGAATACATTACGTTTACACGCCACCTGGCTTTGATGTTGTCTTTAACCTCTTCAAAAGCATCATGCAGTCAAATAATCTGCAGTCGGAAGATCATCCAATGGAAATTGTTATTCATCCAAGAACTCACGAAACACTTTTCGATCATCTCTCACCAAGAATCCTACCGACCGAGTATGGTGGAGGTTCAGGTCCACTTGAAGCGATGATTAAGTTTTGGGAACATAAATTGATTTCCTATCGTGATTACTTTCTTGCTGATGGACAGTTTGGTACGAATGAATCATTACGACCAGCAGAATATCGTCATCACCACACAGATTTTGTAAGAACTCATTTCGATTAGACTTAAGGTTTTAATTTCGATAAATATCTCGTGATTTATTTTTGTTATTCTTTTTATTTTCTGTTTTTGGGTTGCAAATAAATTTCCATTGACGTTTTACGTATTAGTAAAACAAAATTTTTCCTAGTGTTTGGAGTGATAACAACGAAAAAACGTTTTTACAAAAAACTTTTTTTGTTACAATGAATTTCCCTGCGATCGTCTTATCTTATCATTGTGAATTACCTCACATTCGTTATCACTATAAAAAGCAATTTCCCCGAGTGAATTTGAAGCTTAAAGTGTTCTCTTGAGTTCTCGAGAGGTGCGACTCATTCACATTTCGTTGTTTTTAGTATTCACATCGTAATTAGCTGCAACTTGAGTTTTTCAAGTGTTGAGTGAGTAAAAGGAATCATTAGAAACATGCCTGACATCCGCACACTTCCTATTGAACTTGCGAAAATAGCGAAAGAAGAACTGAATGAAACACCAGGCCGAATTCAAGATGACATTGAATCATTACGTAATTGGATTAGTCAGTCACCTCATTTAAAATCACGAACAGATGATCAATTTTTGATTGCTTTCCTTCGTGGTTGCAAATATAGTTTGGAGAAAGCGAAACAAAAACTGGATTTATTTTACACGGTTCGGACTCATGCACCTGAACTGATAAAAAATCGTGATCCAATGAATGATCATGTTTTGGGAATGATAAGATTAGGGTCCGTGTGTGTGTGTATGTGTGCGATTGATTATTGATGACTAAGAAGAAATTTTATTTGCAGTTTTGGTATTCCGTTACCGATTACCGATCGACCCGAATCACCTCGAATTATCCTTGTGCGTCCTGGAATATTTGATCCACATTTATACACAATTCAAGATGCAATGCGAGTGACAACGATGATGCTTGATTACATGTTAAATGAAGACGATAATTTTGTGATTGCGGGTCAAATTGGAATTTTAGATCTAACTGGTGTTACCGTCCAACATTTCTTTCAATTTAATCCAACATTTATTAAAAAGATGACAATTCTAACACAAGATGCTGCACCTGGGAGACAAAAGGGACTTCATTGGATAAACACGCCGAGAGGCTTTGAACAAGTTTTTAATATCTTTACAAGCTTCATGAATGAAAAAAATCGATCAAGAGTGAGTTCAAAGTTTTAATTAATTTCGTTGTTTAAGCTTTAATCCTTTGAGCATAGACTTTTCTTTTCGCAAACCATTCTTATCAGTTGACTTTTATCAATAAATTTCCTTTCTAGTTATTTGTTCACAGTAATCTCGAGTCGCTTTATAAACATGTCCCAAAAAGATTATTACCAAAAGAGTACGGAGGTGAATCGGGAACGGTTGAAAGTGTGATTAACGAGTGGGAAAAGAAGATTATGTCTTATCGTTCATACTATCACGAGGAAGATACTCTTTATGGGATTGATGAAAGCAAACGAATTGGACAAGAGAAAAGTTCAAACTCAATTTTTGGCGTTGATGGAACGTTTCGAAAATTAACAATTGATTGAAAATGTATACAATTAAGAACAATAAACTTTTATATCAGATATAAATATTTATGAATGTACATAACAAATCAAATAAAACACAGGCAAAATTTTCTATAAACTTCGATAATATCATTTTGAAATTGTAAAAAATTACAAAACTGTATGACGATGTAATTAATAGCTGTCATATCGTTATCACTATTAATTATAACTTGTAATGATATTGCCATTAAACAACAATTTTGATAAAACTCTTCCATTGAATAATGCGGAAAATAATTTTTTGTTAGGCATAAAAATTTCACAATTCATAATTTTTATTATGTCAACAAACCATAAAAAAATTGAACAATCGAAAAATATTTTTAATTTGATGCCATTTTGTTGTCAATCCAATCAATGAAGCTTGTAACTCTTGTGTAGACCGAAGGATATCCTGCTTCACATAGTCTTGCCCCGAATGAAACAATTCCAATGACACGTCTTGATGAACTGTGGGTGTTGACATCACCAGCGAATAATCCACCTCCGTTGTCCCCTAAAATTGAAATTAACAAATTAATAATAATTAATTCAAGTACAAAATAAACAATAAATTTAATTTACTTTTGCATGGACCTCTTCCTGAAAGTTTCAAAAATATTTTCCAATTAGAATTTATTAAAATTTGAAAAAATTAATGTTTATGTACCTCCAGAATTATTTGTGCAAAGTTGGGAAGAAGTTACCGGCCAAATACCACTACACTGACTGTTTGTCAGGACTGGAACTGAAACATATCGCTGAACTTTTGTCTGGTCCACCTGTATCCGAGTAACGTCCAAATCCTTGGATAGTCGCAGTTGTACCAGCAAAAGTGTTGCTAACTTCGTTTCTGGGTAAACTTATGTAAGATGTGTAGGCTGAGATTTACAAGTTTAAATTAATTTACAATCAGTTTCATTATTTTAACATTTAATCACCAACCATTGTTTGGAGCAGCTGTTGTTGTTTTAATAAGAGCGATGTCGTTCACAATATTCGATCCTATGACACTGTATGACTCATGAATGATGAATTTGGCTGATGAAGAAACCCAATAAAATCCAACATTTAAATCATTAAATGAGAAGATAGACGCTTGTCTTCGGCCAGCTACGCAATTTGCAGCCTATGATCAGAATTAATTTAATTCTTCGGCTTTAATTATTTCTTCAATATTACTCACAGTCAAAACCCAATAAGCATTCAACAAAGATCCACCACACCAATAACCTTCATCCATTACAACTAAAACTGAGAAAGGAAATTGTCCAACTTCAGCGATACTTCCACCAACAATTCGGCCGCCTCGTACAGTTGCATCGTACGATGGGTCAATCTTCTTCAATGTCGGAAGAAGTTCAGGCGACTCCCAAACACTTTTCAATTCCCTCCAATCAAAATCAAAGGGTGTTAGATCTTGTGCAAGAGTCGCAGTGGCAAATATAACCAAGAGCAGAGTCAACTTCATCGTTCAATGTTCAAAAAACTTTTGATAAAGCAGCTCAACAACGCACNATATGAACGTGTCCCAAAAAACGAATATTTTTGTTCGCGATTTTGACTGACTGACTGACTGACTGACAGACATTGACATGTCAGTCAGTCAGTCAATCGAGTTGAACGGAACATTAGCCAATCTCTGCCACCAACAATTCGGCCGCCTCGTACAGTTGCATCGTACGATGGGTCAATTTTCTTCAATGTCGGAAGAAGTTCAGGCGACTCCCAAACACTTTTCAATTCCCTCCAATCAAAATCAAAGGGTGTTGGATCTTGTGCGAGAGTCGCAGTGGCAAATAAAACCAGGAGCAGAGTCAACTTCATCGTTCAATGTTCAAAAAAACTTTTGATGAAGTAGCTTAACAACGCACCCACTATTTAAAAGATCTTTTTCCATAGGTTTAAAGACTTTCTTATCAATATGAAGGCAATAAATAAATCAAAATTATTTTTAATTCACTTTTATTCTTTCATGAGTAAATGAGAGAGAAGAATTTTTTATTTCAAATTAATGTTTCTAACTTGTTTTACAGTTGGAGAATGGGAATTTATATTAAGCACCAGCCTTTCCTAAAGATTTGATCTTAATTTGTAATTTGAATTTAATTTTAAATTTAATTTAGTTTCTCTTTGGACAATTTAAATCTTTAAGTTGAAGGGAAGTATCAGGAAAATTTATGAAAAATCTAATAATTAATTTTTTTCAAAATTTAATATTTTTAAATTCTCGAAGGTTTTATTAGCTTAAGATTGCGGTATTTATCTGCGTTGTAGATATTTACCCAGCTTTTTGATAAGGAAATTTTCGGACTTTGTTGTAGAGTTTTTCTGTCAATTTATTGGACACTTGAATATTATCCAGTTCTTTCATGATAGTTACTTATTCTCGTTCTGAATCTTGCATTATTTCATTAAAGAGGTTTTTTCTAGAAACTCAACAATTTTGATAAAACTCTTCCATTGAACAATGCGGAAAATATTTTTTTGTAAGTCATAAAACATTCTCAATTCATAATTTTTATTATGCCAACCATAAAAAAATTGAACAATCGAAAAATATTTTTAATTTGATGCCATTTTGTTGTCAATCCAACCAATGAAGCTTGTAACTCTTGTGTAGACCGAAGGATATCCTGCTGCACATTTTACTGCCCCAAATGAAACAATTCCAATGACACGTCTTGATGAGCTGTGGGTGTTGACATCACCAGCGAATAATCCACCACCGCTGTCACCTGACATTGAATTAATCAAATTAAGAATAATGTATTTAAGTAGAAAATAAACAATAAATTTAATTTACCATTGCATGAACTTCTTCCTGAAAGTTTCAAAAATATTTTCCAATTAGAATTTATTAAAATTTGAAAAAATTAATGTTTATGTACCTCCGGAAGTATTTGTGCAAAGTTGGGAAGCAGTTACAGGCCAGGTACCTGTACACTGACTGTTTGTCAAGATTGGAACTGAAACATATCGCTGAACAGTTGAAACATCTTCACTTGCATCCGAGTAACGTCCAAATCCTTGGATAGTCGCAGTTGTACCAGCAAAAGTGTTGCTAACTTCGTTTCTGGGTAAACTTATGTAAGCTGTGTAGGCTGAGAAGTTTTAGCATAATTTACAATCATTTTCATTATTTTAACATTTAATCACCAACCATTGTTTGGAGCAGCTGAAGTTGTTTTAATAAGAGCGATGTCGTTAACAACATTGTTCGATGATTCACTGTAGGATTCATGAATGATGAATTTGGCTGATGAAGAAACCCAATAATATCCAACATTAATATCAGTCATTGAGTAGATAGACGCTTGTTTTCGGCCATCTATGCAATGCGCAGCCTATGATAGAATTTATTTAATTCTTCGGCTCTAAATATTTCCTCATTAGTAAAGTTACTCACAGTCAAAACCCAATTAGCATTCAACAAAGATCCACCACACCAATAAGCGTTGTCAATTATAAGTAAAACTGAGAAAGGAAATTGTCCAACTTTAGCGATACTTCCACCAATAATTCGGCCGCCTCGTACAGTTGCATCGTACGATGGGTCAATCTTCTTCAATGTCGGAAGAAGTTCAGGCGACTCCCAAACACTTTTCAATTCCCTCCAATCAAAATCAAAGGGTGTTAGATCTTGTGCAAGAGTCGCAGTGGCAAATATAACCAAGAGCAGAGTCAACTTCATCGTTCAATGTTCAAAAAACTTTTGATAAAGCAGCTCAACAACGCACCCACTATTTAAAGGATTTTTTTTCTTAGTTTCAGAGATTTTCTTATCAAAATGATGGTAATAAATAAGTCAACATTATTTTTAATTCACTTTTATTCCTTTCTGAGTAAATGATTAAAAAGGGTTTTCTAGAAACTCTCAATGTTATAGATATCTTGAAAGTTTTCCATACTTAACTAAGCTTATGAGTAAGTTTTATGATTTACTTGGAAATTGTGCTTGATATCATCATCTAAGCTCAAAAACATCCTGTGAATATTTATAAATTAGGAGCTTACAATAATTCAATAAATTAAGTAGATTTTATAAAATTAACTATGAAAATAAGATAACGTTTAGAAAAAATAATGTTGGCCTCTCGGCAATCTTATCATTGGATTAAAGTGTAGTATTGATAATGTTAAATTGATAAGATATTTGCTGAATGTTTACTGATTTCAGTTGAGCGTGAATTGTTGTGAAGACATCAACTTCATCGTCATGTCGACATTACCATTGAGACCATTAAGTGGTCAGTTACAAAAAGTAGCACGTGAACAATTATTTGAAGATCCCGCAAACATTCAAGAGAACTTGAACGCATTTAGAGAATGGATTAAGAAATCGCCACATTTGAAATCGAGGAATGACGATCAATTCCTTGTCTCGTTTTTACGTGGATGTAAATACAGTTTGGAGCGTGCAAAACAAAAGCTTGACATGTACTACACGTTGAGAACACACATACCGGAATTATTTGCTGATCGAGATCCGACGAGTGAGAAGAATCAAACAGTGATCAAATTAGGTGCTGCACTTCCACTTCCTATAACTGACTCGCCTGACTCACCAAGACTCATGTTAATGCGTCCCGGAGCTTTTGATGCAACAAAGTTTACAATGCAAGACGTTATGAAAATTTCAACAATGGTTATGGATATTTCAATGCAGGAAGATGACAACATGACAGTCGCTGGTCAAATCGGTATTGTTGATCTTGCGAATGTTACACTTGCACATTTAATTCAAATGCAACCGGCGTTTATAAAGAAGATGACCATGATGTGGCAAGATGGACTACCGATCCGACAGAAAGGTGTTCATTACATCAACACTCCCAAAAGTTTTGAACAAGTCTTCAACATCATCAAAAGCTTCATGAATGAAAAAATGAGATCGAGAGTAATTCTTCGGAATTTTCCATGAAGTTTCCTTAGATTAACTTTCTAAAATATTTTCAGGTTTACGTTCATTCATCACTCGATTCGCTTTATAAAGTTGTGCCACGAAGATTAATGCCAAGCGAATATGAGGGCGAGGCTGGTTCGCTTCAAAGTTTAGTAGAAAAATGGGAGAAAAAGCTTCATTCGTATCGTGATTACTTCGTTGAAGACATCAAATTTGGTGTTGATGAAAAGAAGCGTCCAGGACGTCCCAAGAATCCCGACTCTTTGTTTGGAATCGATGGAACTTTCCGACAGCTTCAATTCGATTAGTTTTTCTCTTAATTGAGTTTCATTTTTTTTATTTTAAGTGACAGTAATAAAACGAACCACATGAAAAACTGATAAAGCTTTATGGCTCCGTTGTAATCTAATCGATTTTCACGCAGACATCGCTGATAATTCAGACAAAAAGGTTTTTTGAGCTGTTCAAAGTGCTTGAACATTTAAGATTTGTAATTTGAACGTGAAAGATTTAAAAATGGTTAATGTTAGACCTCTAAATGATGAACTTCAAAAGAAAGCAATCAAAGAATTGAATGAAGATCCTGAGAGAATTCCAAAGGATTTGGAAACGTTTAGAGAATGGATTAAGAAATCTCCACATATTAAGTGTTTTGATGACGATCAATTCTTGATTAACTTCCTTAGAGGTTGCAAGTTTAGTATGGAAAGAGTGAAACAAAAGTTTGATTTGTACCATACGTTGAAGACTCACATCCCAGAGTTGACACGAAACAGAGATCCTTTGGATGAGAAAGTTTTAGGAGCGATCAGACAAGCAGTTGGGATTCCATTACCCCATACTGATGGCCCTGATGGTCCACGTTACTTCCTTGTCAGACCAGGAAATTATAATCCATCTGAATACAGCATCACTGACATAATCAAAGTATCAACGATGATCAACGATTTAATGATGCTTGAAGACGATAATTTCGTCATCGCTGGTTCCATTGGAATCTTAGATTTCACTGGAACTTCCATGTCTCACTTTCTTCAATTCAATCCAACGTTCATTAAGCAAATGACGATGATACAACAAGATGCTAACCCAATTCGTCAGAAGGGTTCACATTTCGTTAACATGCCTTCAATTGCTTTGACAGTCTTCAACATTTTTCAATCATTCACAAACGAAAAAAATAAAAAGCGAGTAAGTTGAGTTCATATCAAAAGTTGAAAGTGAAATAAATAAATTTAAAATTTCTTCAAGGTTTTTGTTCATGGTCATGATATGGAATCTTTATACAAATCAATTCCTCGAAAGCTTTTGCCGAAAGAATATGGCGGTGAAGCGGGAACAATCGAAGAAATTGCGAAAGATGTAGAAAAACGTTTGATCGCTCGCAGGGATTTCTTCCTTGAAGATGAGAAATTTGGTGTCGACGAAAAAAAACGAGTTGGAAGACCAAAGAATCCTGAATCACTCTTCGGAATTGAAGGAAGTTTCCGTCAATTGGCAATCGATTAATTTTTTTTTTTGAATTTTTTATTATGAAGAGTAGACATAAAATAAAAGAATTATTTTTATCGTTTTTCTTTCCGATTGGACAAGAATAAAAACAATCTAATCTCTAACGATACCTCTTGGTATTGTTGATGATAACAGATGATAAATGTTGGTGTAGGCTTTTTGATTTCTTCGCTATCAATTTTTAAAAGTCACTCGATCGAAACAGTCATTGGTTGGCATTGACAAGGAGTGTCTCTGATTATTTATTTCCAGAAATGCTAGCCGATATTCGACAATTAAATCCATTTCTCGAAATGATCGCTCGAGAAGAATTGCATGAAGATAAAGAAAAGATTGAAGATTATTTGAAAGCTCTCAAAGAATGGATTGAAAAGTCTCCACATCTAAAAGCTCGAACCGATGATCAATTTTTGGTGGCATTTCTGCGTGGTTGTCAATACAGTCTCGAAGCGACAAAAAAAAAGCTCGACACATTTTACACACTGAGAACTCACATACCAGAGCTTTTATCCAATAGAGATCCCATGGATATAAAGCTTCGAGAAGTCATAAAGCTCGGGTGAATTTATTGTTTTATCCTAGAAGAAGCTCAAAATAAAAGTTACGTGAGATTTTCTTATAATTTTTCTTTTAGAATTGGAATTCCCCTTCCACTTACTGAAACACCAGGATCACCTCGTATTTTCCTGATTCGTCATGGAATTTACGATGCGAATATGTTCACTCTTCACGATGTCATGAAAGTGTCAACAATGATAAATGATATTCTTCTGAGAGACGATGACAATTTTGTTGTGGCGGGTCAAATCGGCATTTTAGATTTGTCTGGTGTGAGTTTCAAACACTTCGCTCAATATAATCCTGGATTTATTAAGAAAATGACTTTGCTTAGTCATGATGGATCACCAATTAGACATCGAGCTTTTCATTACATTAACACACCTCCTGGCTTCGATAATGTTTTTACTGTCTTTATGTCGTTAATGAATGAGACAGATCGAAACTCTGTAAGTTATCAGTGCACTGCTATTTGAATCCAAAACATGACAAGTTATGTATCACAGTGTTCGCTTATCTTTAGACATTCATTCATGGCAGTGACTTAGAGTCTCTCTTCAAAATAATTCCAAGAAGAATTATGCCATTCGAGTATGGTGGCGAGGCTGGCCCACTCCAAGAAATCATCGATGATTGGGAAAAGAAAATCTTATCGTATCGAATGTATTTTCAAGAAGACGAAGAACAGTTTGGAGTTGATGAGTCAAAACGAATCGATCGTTCAAATAATGCTGAATCATTATTTGGGGCTGAAGGAAGCTTCAATCAATTAAATTTTTATTGAATTTTTTTTATTTTTTGTAATGTTTCAATTTGCATTTTATTAAAAGAAATCCAAAAATGGGAAAATTTCCTTCTCTATAATTTTCTTATCTTATCATTTGTTTTCTTCTTACTATTGAATTGCAATTTGAAGTTGTAGGCGTGAAGTGAGAGAGAATTGTGTAAGGTGAGAGAAACACTTTTCATTGTTTATCAACAATTCACATTGATTCACTTGTTGTTACATTTCCGTGTACAGAATTGTATTAAAGAAAAGTATTTTTAACTCACAACTCGACTCACCTTTTATTTTAAAATCTGTTTCTGATTTACGTCATATTGATGACTAAAAAATTTTCTTATCGATTTTTTGTTGTTGTGTTTTACAGATATTAAGTATCACATCTTATCATTTCTTATCAGAAGCCCAAAAAAGTGATAAGAAATCGAATTTTGAATTCATATTAATGTGACAAAACATCGAAGCCATTAGTTTAGTATCTGCTGGTGAACAAGTGAAGTGAAGACTTATAAATTTTATTTAAATCTTGGACTCTTATCATTTTATAGATTTGAAAGATTTAGTAAGTGCGTCACTTCCATCATGCTCGTCATAAAAGCTTATCAATCTTAAAAGATGACGACAAGTGAAACGAAAGAGTTTCCTTAAATTTCACGGCTTGCGCAATGACTAATTGTATTTAATTACTGAAGCACTTGAAGTTTGAACCCATTTTGTCATCAATTACGTACGAGATGTTACAAAAACTTTTTCTTTCTTCGTTATCTCTTGCCTTACTCATTCAATATGATAAGAGTGTTTATTTTAATTTATCTATTTAAGGTTTAAAGCGAACGAGTAATGATTAACATTCGACCACTTACACCTGCACTTGCTGCGGTTGCTGCAAAAGAACTCAATGAGACTCCCGAACGACTAGTCAGTGACCTTCGTGCATTGAAGGAATGGATAAAGCAATCGCCACATCTTTATGTTCGAACAGATGATCAGTTTCTTGTGTCATTCTTGAGAGGCTGCAAATACAGTTTAGAGAAAGCTAAGCAAAAATTTGATCTTTATTACACGATAAGAACTTTTATGCCAGAAGTCACGATGAATCGTGATCCGCTCGATGAGAGATTGCAAACGATCATAAGATTAGGGTGAGCTGGATAAGATAAAATGTTTATCGAATGAAATAATTAATTTTTGTGTTGTCATCAGAATTGGTCTTCCCCTTCCCTTCACAGAGAAACCTGACAGTCCTCGACTTATTTTAATTCGTCCTGGAGCTTATGATGCAAGTCAATTTAGTCTTCCTGAAGTGTTTAAAATTAGCAACATGATCCAAGACATTCTCATGCGGGAAGACGACAATTACATGATTGCTGGTCAAATCGGTATCTTGGATTGTTCTGGAGTTACCATGGCACATTTCATGCAATTTAATCCAACGTTTATCAAGAAGATAACGTTAATGAGTCAGGAAGCGTCACCAACGAGACAGAAAGGGTTTCATTTTATAAATACACCTTACGGCTTTGATTCTGTTTTCAATGTCTTCAAAAGTTTCATTAATGATAAGAACAAAACGAAACTTTATGTACATGGAAGTAACTTAAGCTCACTCTATAAAGAGATTCCCAAAAAACTGATGCCAAACGAATATGGTGGCACTGCTGGTAGTGTTGAAAGTATCATCAATACATGGGAAAAGCGAATAATTTCTTATCGTGACTACTACAAAGAAGAAGAGAAATTTGGCGTCGATGAGAAGAAGCGATTAGCTCGCAAAAATTCTCCTGATCACATTTTTGGTGCTACTGGAAGTTTCAGACAATTGGAAGTTGATTAAAAGTAATTTTCTTTTATTCTATACTTCATCACAATTAAATAAATAAATTTAGTTAAATAAAACTTTCTGTTGATTTAAATTTTTCTTGGCTTTTTTCATCTCGTGAAAACACTTTTTGCGATTTGTTGCTTGAATGTTTGGAATGCCATTCAAAATTCATCCAATTGGGAGTGAGAAGTTTTCTGTTAGTGACGATTGGATTACGAGGTTCAAGTTGATAATTATTTCTTGTTTTTATCGATCCAAAAGTGAAGATGCCAACGGTTGTTGAAAAGTCTTTTGTTGTGCAGCAACTGCAGAAAAGTTTGTGAAGTTTTGTTTGTCGGAAAGCTCGACGAAAGTTCTCGTTCATGACACCATAAATGATCGGTGTCAATGAGCTGTCGAGAAAGATTAGAAAATGTGAAATGTACCAAAGAACATGAAATGATCCTTGCACTTGATTCATCTCTGAGTTTTGCAGCATGTTGTAACGAATGAAAACTAAAGCCGTGAACGGAAGTCGAAGAAGAATAAACGAAAGAACGACAATGAACAGAGTTATTGTGCACTTTCGTTTATTAATGATTTGAATTGGATTGTCACGTTTCTTCCTGCTTTTTTCATATCGATCAAGTTTCCAGAAAATCATGCTGTAGCAAAAAACCAGCACAGCCATTGGCACCCACACCAAAGCAATCACCAAAACATGCCAATAAAGTGGAAGAACTTTCAAATTTTCCGTGCAGAAAGATTCGACGAAATTCTTCCAGTGACGTTCTTGATATGATCGGAAAATTGCGAGTGGTGATGACAAGACCAATCCACTAATCCATGAAATTGCAATCATTATTTTTGTCGTTTTGAAGTTTAATCGAGCTTTCATTGGAAAAGCGATTGCTGTCAATCGATCGTAGCTAATCAAACAAATTGTTATAACTGAAGTGATGAGAAGAGAAACTTCAATCATTCCATCAGCTTTGCATCCAATCTCGCCCAACTTGTAGTTTTGAAATATCTCATGAAATAAGAACAATCCTGGACAACAGAGAAGAACTAAAAGGTCGGAAATCGCCATATTGAAAATCAAATAATTGGTCGGTGTCTGTAATGTTCGATTTCCATAAATCACATGAAGTAGCAAACAATTTCCAACAATTCCAAAGACTCCAATCGGCAGCAAGATGAAAGTTCGAATTAAAATTTCTTTCCATGACAACATGTCCCAAATTTGTGATGGAAAGTCATAGCAAGAGAAGTCAACCTTGACAAAAATTGAATTAGAAAAGACAGTTTGATTGCAGATTTAAACTCACGTCATAAAAATCATTCATTTCTCTTTCTTATTTCACTCACAACTTACCACTTCAATATATTTATCGAAACTTGATTCAAGGCAACTCATGCTCATTTACTTGCGTGTAGCTTTTATGACGACACTCAATTTACTGAATTACCCCAATTAATACGAATAGATAATCATTGCTATTGTGACTATGGAAAGCGGAAAATTCGCTCATCTATTTTCATTCTTATCTTCAGTTATCAGTGATGTTTTTCAACCGATGAATCAACCCTAGATAAGCAAGTAGTTGACAAAATATATCAACCGGAAAAAGTTGTCAAATTCATTTCGTAAGTTCATTTTATTTCATGCAATCATAAGTTCATAAAATGAAAAACAATAACAATAATTCAATTAAAAAAATATTTAAATAATTTAATCTCCCAAAATGCTTGTCACAGCTGATATCTCAAGTATTGGTGAACTTTCACTTTTACTCGAAATCGGTTGTAAAATATCGCGATGAACTTTGAGATGTCTCAGAACTTTCGATGGTGTTTCAAATGCTTTTCCACAATGTGGACAATTGTTGTTCCTGACTCGTTTCCGACCTGGCTTTGCTTTTGTTCGTGTGTGACTTTTGATGTGTCGATTCAATTTGTAAGGACTCTGAAAGGACTTTGAGCATATCAGACAATCGTGTTTTCTCTTCGGTTGTGATTGATTTTGAGTTTTCTCTGCAACAACAGGTCGATTATTATTTTTAAAGATGGAAACTTTTCTCATATGTTGCGACTTCATGTGGTTGGTGAGTTTAGCTGGTGATTGAAATTCAGAGCCACAAACTGTGCAATTGTAATGTCTCTTTCCAAGCTTTTGTGCCAACGGGAAAGATTTAGCAAAAGTTTCATTTTGTTTTGATAACTGACGAGTTTCAGTTTTAATGTGAACGATCATATGCAACGGGAGTTGAGCTTGTGACTCGATAGCCAAGAAACATATTGGGCATTGAACTTCTGGTTCACTTTTTTGTGACTCAAAGAGAACTGGAGATGAAAAAGAAGGTTTTTTTCCTTCTGATGTTGACTTCTCTTGCTTTGTTGCTTTCCCAGATCGATGAACGACCATGTGACGCTTAAGTTTTGATGGTGTCACCCACAACTTACCACAAACAGGACAAGAATATCTTCGACTTTTCTTTGTTGATGTCGGAGCATCAAAGTTCTGAGTTTCATCGATCGTTGGCTTTTCTTCGATGGGAGTTTCGTCAATCAACGATGGTTGAATAATTTCTTCTTTGTTGGTATCAATGAGATATTCTGACAAGTCCATATCATCATCCATCATTATATTCCACACCGAATAGTCGTGTTCGTTGTTAGTTATACTTAAAGGCTTCCGATTGAAGCGAACATTCTCATCAATACTAACACACATTTGCCGAAATCGGTAAGCGTTCATAGCTTGACTTTTGCAGTCAATGCAAATTTTTTGCGAAAATCCTAAATTTGAAGATGAAAATTATATTTTCACAGATTGATTAATTATCAAATTTTTCTTTGTTATTTTACCATCGTTTCGAGATATGGCGATAGGAGCTATCAACATGATAATCTTATAAATTTCCATTTCATCATTTGTATACTCAAATAAAGATTGTAGTTGATCATTTCCAAAACTTTCATTACAGCATCGACATGAAGAAAATTCCGGGTTGTTTCCTAATGTTGTATCCATTATTTGAACAATAACTTCTCTTTAGAGTTGTTTTAATCGATTGGAACTGCTTCATAAAGTGCGTTTTGATAAAAATACGACTTAAAAGTTAATATTAAAGATTTGTTTTGATTTAAAGAAATGACTCTCATAAGCCGCAGAAATGAAAACCTTCTAAAAGTTTTTGGAACCTCAAAACAGTTTTTAAATTTCGCGCGGGAAACGGTTCCCACCTCGAGGAAATTTCAATTTCCGTACAATCAAGAGCATTGATTAAATATTTAAGGATTATAAAAATGATCTTCATCTGCGAAATAAAACGTTCCATTTTTTGCTTTATTTTGAAGCCATTCTAGTGTTAGATTATGATTCGAAATCTTACGAGGCTTGCCATCTCCTACAGAAGAATTTTCTACTCCCAATAATGTTTACGTAAAATGTGTTTACTCAATTGTGATTTTATTAACAACTTAACAACTTACTTATTAAGTAAATGTAAGCTATTTGAGTTCCTCTAAAATATTTGTAGAAGTTTCTTCATCATCATCATCATGATGATAGAAGTTTCTTTTGGCTTTTCATTTTTTTGCACAAAAATTTAAATTAAATTATTCACATACTTCAATGTATAACCAAGTAGAATTACGTGAGCCAATTAAGTTGAAGATTCCTAAGAACTTTATCTAAAAAATTAAAATTAATAATAAAAGTAAAAGAAAAACTAACTAGGTAATAAAGTGGTTTCATAAGATTGAAAATTGTCTGAATAAAGTTTCATTATTTATTTATTCATACATGTTAATTTTGATATCCAACATTATCATAAATTAATTCACAACATTAACTTCACAATATGCATTTTATGCTGAGATTTTTTATTTTTGATGTTTGTAAAAGCTAAGTAGATATCTAGCCTAGATATATAAGTAATAAATATTCAAAGCAACTGCAAACTACTTTAAGGGAAGGAAAAGTTTCTTATGTTAAGATGAAAAAGCTTCTGAAAATCTAAAAACTATTAGATTTTCATTATAATGTTAATTGAAATTATTATATTTATTATTTTCACAACAATCTTTTCTCAACATCAGAAATTGAGATTTCTCGTATTTGAGTGTTTGAAAGATTTTTTGTTTGTAAAAGCAACAAGTGTGCATTGTGGGTGGAAGCTCAGCAGCAGTTTGAAGTTCATAAACATAATCACACATATTTTACATAAACAGTATTGCATTTTAAAAAATCACAGCTTTTCTCGTCGTGTTTATTCGGAAACGTTTTTGGTGGATGTTGAAATTGTGTCGCAAAATGAACAGATTAACAAGACAATCAAATATAATGTGAAGAAGCTTTTTTGGAATTATTTGTTTAAAAATCCTTTCATTTGTTTGTTTTGATGTTGGAGAGACAATTCAGCATTTTCAGCTTTTGATATCAAACGATCAAGTGCATCAAGATTTTTAGAAACTTTCTGATTGATATCTTGAGATTGCTTCTTAGCAAACTGAATATCAGATTGTCCTTCAACTTCTTTCATTTGATCAAGAGTTTCAATGGCATCGTTGATATTGCTTGTCGGAGCTTGACCATTGGATGTAGAGCCACGATCTTCGGAAGGAGCAGGACTTCCACTTCTTATCTTCAAAAGACTTGTGAAGCTACCGCACACGGTCTAAAAAATATTATTTTCTTTCATATGTTTGCATAGTTTTTTAGAACAAAAAAATTAAAATTTTAAATTTATTACCTTAAATTTGTTGATTTTCATTTGAGTTGCTGATAAAACATTATTCAACTCATCCATTTTTCCATGCGTTCCTTTTATTTTTTCATCTTCTCCTTCGACTGCTTGTGCAAGTTCTGATTGTTCTTGTTCCTGTTGAGCTTCAAGTCTTGCCTTATTCTGCTGTTCCCATGCTTCTCTGCTTATTGGCTCAACACCTAGAAGTTCAGCTCTCTCTAACTCATATTCGTAAGTTCCTTCCATGTTGAATTGAAGAAAAAGATTTTTAAGCTTTTAAGTGAAATTTTCTACTGTGATGTGTGAATACCAAATGAAAAAAAAATACAAATATCGATTTTTGCTTTTCCCAGTGAATGTTCTAAAATGTCGAAAGCTGAAAGTGGGGGTGGGTGAAGAAAATTATTTTCAATGATTCAACAGGAATTTTCAAGACTTTCAATTTTAATATTTTCAGACCTTAAGTTTAGAATGAAAACATGATAATAAAATATTTTATTATATTATTTTATGCAAATCTTATGCAGCATATCTAAGTGAAAAAAAGGATACAACTTTAAGGTATAAAAACTCGTTTCTTTTATTTTGAATCAAACAACGACATCTATTGGAAATTAATTTTAAATTATTTACAGCCGTTTCATTTCTTTTTCATAACGAATCAAAACTAATCAATTCCATAAATATGTTTGCTCATAAAATATTTAAATCCCATCACCACCTCAGAAGCGATTGTTTGCAGTCAGAATCGATCTTCACAGGCAATTTCATTTCGAACAAGCAGCTTGTTAGTGTAAAGTAAACAGCAAAATGATAGTTAGTGTTTCTTTAGCAAATTGTTTACACTTGACTCGTACAATACGGCCATACAAAAGATTTCTTTCATCGCCATCCAATCATATTCGCGTCTTTTCTCGCACTCAGGAAAATGGTTTGTTTAAAACTTTTTCAGTGTTTTTATTACTGTAAACAGTCGATTTGACTTAAATTTCCCATAAAATTTGATTGAAGTTTTTTTTGACGGGAAATTTCGAAAATAAGAATTTTGTTCCATCGATGATCGAATGTCACTAAAATTCCAATAATCTTAGCGTCTTACACACATACTAAAACTTTTGCAAGGTTCGGAAGGAACTTATTAAAGCTTAACACAATCGGACACATCGACAATTCCTATCCCATTCGCTCTCGTTATCGCTTACGTAGAAGCTACAGATTGAATCGCGGTCCGTTTCCACCACAAGTAATGAAACATGTAAACTTGTTTTTCCTTCCACTGTTGCCTCGCTCAGTCGAGAGTTGAACGTCGGTGGGTCAAAGTCGTTAGGGAGTGTGTCGTCGGTATGCGATAAGAATTCAACTTTAAATAAACTTTCAACCCGCAAAAAGCCTTAAATTTGAAGAAAAGTGCCTGTGGTCTTATCTTATCTCATTCTAAGTTCCGTCCATAAAGTGCCTGACGTTTAAGTAGACAAAATTTAGGTAAAAATATTAAAAATCAACTCAAATACGGTGATTCAATTGCGAAATGTACGTAGGATGAGCCTCGGTTAAAGTTGTGTTTGTGTCAATTTGAGATCGACTGGAAGATCCAACAATACTCTTCCACCAATGCTTAAAATGGGCATCGCCACCACACATTGTCAATTAAATAAATTTCGGGAGAGGAAATTGCTTTGTCGTGGATTTTTCAAAAAAGATTTTACTTAAATTAAACTCACACAACAGAACTTTATTGTACAGTGAATAATAGTGAACTTCATTTAATTGGAGATTATCCAATTAAACTTCCATCGATTGCATTGTTCTGAGCATATGTCACTTGTTCAAATATTCGAGTTTGAGTGTGAAGCTAATTAAACTGAGAACACATTTCTGAACAAAAAAATTAATAAATGTTCCATATCAAATTAATTCATCCAAAAATGGGACTTAAAACAAATTATTTGGTGTTTCAAAATTATCTCCGTTCACGTACAATTTAAAGTAGTTTTGAAAACAGTCTCATCACATATGTATACACATGAATGTTGATTTGTGCTCCAGTTGACCATAAAAAATCTCAAAACATTAAAAAAAGCAAAGTAAAAGCGCAGAACGGGTTTCAAGTCTCATCTGGATACAATTTCAGATATCAGCAAAAAAGGGCAAGAAACATAAATAAATAAACAAACACTTGTTGATTGACATAATATGTAACAAAATAGCGAAAAATTTCGATGATATTGAAAGAAATGAAACCCGAGAAATAAACAATTTGATGAGTCGGAGGGGAAATTAAATTGAAATCGGCTGAATGTCTTGAACTCCCACATGAATTCAACATTATTATGCATTCATAGCGATGCGTCTTAATGACACGATTCGTCATAAATTTGAGGCTTCTGCCGACCTTATTATTCAACTGTTGACTGCCTCTCTAAAACATTTATTATCGTATTTGAGTCGCTGCCGAATTGAATAATTTATTGATTAAGAAACCACCGAAGTTAATTGAAAAATATATGAGAATTTACATGTGAACTATCACGACATATTTCGTCATTTTTTGGTCGGCTCGTTTCTTTTTTCATTTTATTTCTCTCGGAAGTGTCCAACTTCCCACACAATAAGTTTCGTTGATGTGAGTCGTGGTCATTAATTATGCATCAATTCAATTGTTTAGTTATGATGGTTTATTGAGAAGTCAAATGAGTGTTGATCAGTGAAGTGACGCATTCTTTTCCGTTTTGTTTTCACTTGCTACAAGTTTGCAGAATTGTGAAAGTAAACAAAATGAATGAGTCACAATTGCAGTTTTTTCCAATCGACGTCTTCAACATACAAGTAAATAATCCCTCAGACTTCAGTAATTAAATATCATCGGTAATTCCATGTTCAAACACGTCTTTAACGCCATCAAAGCATTGTATTATGCTGTGATGATCCACCCATTAATAAAACTTTATGCAAACATTTAATTTTAAGATTTATCTGTTGGACAAGAAGAAGAAAAAAAATTTTTTTCACACGTAATTTTTAATGATTTTCAAACAGTAGACAAAAATTAATGGAAGGAAAATTTTGGAATATGTGAGAAACGCAAAAAGTTTTTTAAAGTTGACAAGTAATTGATGGTTGAAATGAAATTGCGGCTCAATGTTGAATATGCTTTTTTTAAACTCATCTTCATCCACTCTCGTCTCTACGATGCGTATAAATTACCATCATTCAAAGTGCCATCAATTGCCAATTAACACAGCGATTGAAACCCAATTGTTGGTAAATCAACCATGAAATCACGATTCTTGAGACCTCAACATCGTTTTATTTTATGTTTATCGCGATAGACAACATCTCTTCATCAAAAGTGGGGTCAATTTCAAATTTACGAACCTTATGATTTGTCAGTGAATGTTAAAATTATTTTCATTTATCATCTTTCTCTCCATCTGTCATAATAAAACTTCAAAAATAAAAAAAAATGAACCGTAACAAGCGTACATTTCCCTACGAATTTTTTTTGTTCCATGTGGAAATCAAGGCCGGAAGTCAGATCACCGCTTAGATATCTTTTATGTTCATTAAAATGATTTTTTGTTTTTGTCTTGTCTTCTTTCTAGAGAGATCGTGACACAATTTCGAGAGAAGAAAACGAAAGAAACAAAATTACCTCAGCTGTGCTTTTAATTTGATTGGACAATCATGACGACGTCAATTAACATCTCAGCTTGTTTTGAGAATCCTCAGGTAATTAACACATTATCAAAGTTTAAACAATTGGAAAGCTTAAAAGTTTCATTAAATCTTTTAGAGTGCTTTGATCTCAGCTTATCAAAGGAGAAACCTTGATGCTTTTAAATATGCCTTAGATCATCTTCATGCAGATCCAAATGCAATTGATCCGAGAAGTAACATGTCGATCTTTGACAAGATCTTGAAAACTCCAGATTCAAATGACTACATAAGATTATGCATTGCACATGGTGCTGATTTATACTCGGTAAGATTTCATTAATTAACCATAAACGTGAATTTAAAATCTTGAAATCTTCTATTCTTTAGAAAAATGTCGATAATCGTTATCCACTTCATGAAGTTGTTGGCTCATTATCGCCGAATAATCTCAAAACTTTTTTAAACTATTATGACCCTCGAAAGATTAACGTGAAGTATAAATATAAGAATTGTCTTCATATGTTAATCGATCTTTTACCAAGTGACAAATATGACGATATTGCTGAATGCATAAAGATTTTAATCGATTATGATTGCGATCCTAATATGCCGAATGAGAAATCTCGAACACCTTTCTTCAGTCTCTTAAGAGTTCAACCAAAACTTCGTGATCCAAATGATTTGATTGATTATATTTTGGAGCATTCGACTGTTGATTTATACACTTACAAACATGATGAGATGAAACGAATGTTTGAGAAACAAAATCCTCATCATTCTCTTCCGGAAAAGGTTGAGAAAATTGTCGATGCTGATTACATGTTGGGATTGTTGCGTGCAAGAAAAGAAGCAGAATTTGAAGTTAATTTCAAATTATTCAAAGAAATGTCAACAAAAATGGCAACCAATGACGATAATAAGTTAAACAACTTCGCGGAAGATTGTGCAAAGTTTCTATACACGGCAATTCAGAATGACTTGGAGGCTGTCGTTGATTTGCTTATGAGTGAAGGTGTTGATGTAAACAAAAGATCAGTCGATATGACTCATCAAAGACCAGCAGCCTTCCTGGCATGTTATTATGGTCACCACGGGGTATTAAAATTGCTTCTTCAAGCTGATCCAAAACCGGAAACAATTTTCAAGAATCGAAATTTACTTCATGAAGTTTGCAGTCATTTTGGAACTGATCCAAGTTCAACACCAAACATCGATCATCAAAAATGTTTCGATCTTGTGTTAGACCATTGCAATGTCAATCAAATTGATGAGTCAGGATGTACGCCACTTCATTATGCTGTTCGCTACCGCAATGATAAAGCAGCAAAAGCTTTACTTGAAAGATCAAGTTACATTGGAACAAGAAACTCTTACGGTGAGACTCCAATTGATGACTTGAGTCGAGAAGTTCTTGAAAATTTCCTTGACAGCCGCATTACAACAAATATCCGTCGATCTGGAGATGACGAACAAAAAATTGCAATCGACTACCAATTCTTGATGTCACCAAAAACATCTGACGATGTTGATGAGTTCCGATCAGAAATTTTACCATTGAAAGTCATTTCGGAGAATTCAGATTTACGTTCATTGATTCTCCACCCAGTGCTTTCAAGTTTCTTGTTTCTCAAATGGAGCAAACTCAGCTTATTGTTCTACGCAAATCTTTTACTGTTTTCAACATTCATGGTGTCGTTGATCGTCTTCATCGTTTTATGTCAATCAATTCCACCTGCAGATCGTGATGACAGCGGCGTTTACTGCTTATTCTTCTATTTATCAATCATCAGCCTTATTCTTCTCATGCTTCGAGAAGTTTTTCAATGCATGTTGTCGGTCAAACATTACTTCAAAAACCCGATAAATTTGCTTGAAATTATTCTCATAATTCTTGGATGGACGGTGATTATTCAGTCGAGTGAAGTTAATGACGATGACGACGCAACTCAACGAATCTTAAGGGCAGTGACAATTTTATTCGCTGCATATGAATTCTTGCAGCTTGTTGGGACATTGCCGATACTTTCGGTTTCAACTCACATGGTCATTCTGAAGAAAGTTGCAGTGACTTTCCTTAAATCCATCGCGCTTTACTCGATTCTTCTTCTAGCTTTTGCTTTAAGCTTCTACACGTTGTTTGGTGGGAAGAACTCAAATGAAAAAGAAGATGAAACGACAACAATTGAACCAAACTCAAGTGCAATTCCATCGGGGTGTTGCAAGCAAGATGATGACGATGGAGAATTTAATTCTTTCGGATATCCTGGAATTGCAATCATCAAAACATTTGTGATGTTGACTGGTGAATTTGATGCTTCATCACTTGATTTGGATCGTAATGGCATTTCTTACTCAATCATCTTTCTTCTCTTCGTCTTTTTGATCACAATCGTTTTGTTTAATTTATTGAATGCATTGGCTGTTGACGACACTCACGTGAGTTTATCAAATTATTTTCATTCATAACGAGAAGATCTTTAAATATTTTCTAATATTTTAGGTGATCAAATCTGAGGGACAACTCGTTGATTTATGCCAGCGCATTAACGTTCTCACTGAATACGAACGAATAATTCTGGGACGTTCAGGCTGGCGATGGGTGAAGTCAATTATCAGTATTTTCCCTTACACAATTCCTCAAGGAAGAATCGTCATTCATCCAAATCGAAGGAATGAAATCTTGACAATGAAATCGCGATCTTCTTCACAAGATGTCAGCATTAAAGTGGAAGATGGACAAGAACAAGAACTTCAGACATTGAACAACAACAGTTCCATTGAAAAGATTATTCCAAGTCGTCGACTCACAGAAAAACTCGAAAAGTATTCAAGAATGGATCCGAAAATCATGAAACGTATTCGTTCTGTACTCGAGGAAAGAAATGAGAAAAGAAATAAGCAGCAACGTGAAGAGACTTTGTGGGATCACATTCGCAGCATGGAATTGCAACTCAAAGTTTTAACAGATTTGATTAAGAACAGAAAGAATTAAAATTCGTTTTTATTTTATTTTCCCGAATTATTTGGATTCATAAACTTTTATTTTTAATTGAAAAAATTAAAGTAGTTTCATTAAATTGAGGTCACCTTCGTAGATTTCTTCCGAAATTGTTTCCTCTTCTCTAAAGTGATCCATTTTGTGTTGTTTTAATTCATTAAATTTTGCAAAGGCTTCCGAACATTCTCCAATATTGCATTTGTAAACTTTTGGTCCAAGATGCGTTCTCAAATGTTTCGTCAGATCATTACTTTGACCATAAGCTTTTCCACAATAATTACATTGAAAAGGTTTAACGCCGGTATGTGATCGTGTGTGACGTCGCAGATGACCGCTGGTAATGAATCGCATGTTGCATGTTTTGCATGAGAACTTTTTCTATGAAGATGGAAATGAAAGAAAATGAAATTTTGGTGAATTATAAAATTTTAAAAAAGTTTTTTTTTGGAAACTAAAATTAATTAAACATAATCAACTTACATCACCAACATGAATCTTTTGATGTGTTCGAAGTGTTTGAAGTTTACTGAATTTCTTCGAACAAACATCACATGTCAATGGTTTTTCGTTAGAATGTGTAGCCATATGAGATGCAAGGCCCCATTTAAAAATGAAACGTGCTGGACATAAGTTACATGCATGATCCTTTCTTCCAGTATGTCGAATTTGATGTCGCTTAAGATATTCAATTTCAGCAAAACTTTTATCACAAAGATTACAAGGAAATTTTTTTGGTTTTGCCTCTCCATGTGTTGATTTATGTTGCATCAATTTATGAAGCTTTAGAAAACTTTTGTCGCATGATTCAACGTCACATTTGTAAGGCTTGAATCCTTTGTGTCGCAGAAAGTGATCAATGAGATCGTCGCCCATCCCCATAAGTTTTCCACAATGAATGCATTGATGTGTTGCATTTTCAATGTGACTTCGAGCATGACGAACAAGGTTTGCAAGGTTCGGATAAGTTTTTGAACACAATTTACATGACATTGTGGTATTTTCATCGCAATCGTCGCGATGAGCTCTCATGTGCTTTATGTTTTCATCATAATCAGGAACTGATTGAAGACAAATAACACAAATAAAATTATGATCATTCGAATGCACGATCTTTGACTTCTCAAACTCTTCAGAATGCACAATCATATGTCGTTCAACTTTCACTCGATTCCAGAATCTTAAGTCACAATGTGGACATGCGAGAGGCCGGTGTTGATTAATTCCATTATATATTTTCTGATCTTCATTATGAACATTTAAATGCCGTTGTAGTTTTGATGGACTTTCAACACGCTTTCCACAAAATGGACACTCATATTTATATTCTTTTCGTGGAGGTTTCGGGAGAACTGATTGAGGTAAAATATCACGATGAACAGTCAAATGACGGCGAACTTTTGAAGGCGATTCGAACCTCTTTCCACACAAATGACATTTATATTTTTTGGCTTTACTGGAACCACTAGCATCAGGATCAACTTCTTCGCGTACAATAAAACTGTCTTCAACGATCTCATTCTCATTTAGTTCACTTTCATCAAGCGATTGTTCGACTGTTTCTTGTTCAATTTCATTTTCAAGCTTTGCATTATCTTGATATTCATGATTCTGTGCAACATGATCATTGAAATCCCATGAAGATTCAAATGATTCCTGACAATAAGGACACAATAAAACTTCTTTAAAATCCTCGACGATTTCGATTGCATCTTCAGAGACAATTTCATCTTCTTCTGGCAATGATTCTGTGCGAGTGTCAAAGATTATCTCATTGGATTCATCAAATTCGTTGTCTTTTTCATATTCATCATCGCTTATACTATTTTCCGAACGAGCAAGTTTGTCAGACATTAGGCATAAGTTTCGGAACGTAAATGAGTCCACTGCTTTAGTTTTACAATTTTCGCAGATCAGTTGAGAGAGTCCTATATAAGAAGGATGGAAGAAGTTACAATATTTTCTAATTAATCTTCAGCTATCTTACCATCATCACAATCAGAAAATATTGGCACCAAAAGATTTAATATTTCACTTAATGTAAAATTTTCATAAACACAATTGAAAATATTTTCCATTTTATTTTCTTGCGTGAAAGAGAAACAACAACGACATCGACTTTCTGTTATACTTTCGATGAAGTCTTCTTCAATGATCTCATCGATGTTTGTTTCCATTTTTATTTTTTTATCTTTATTTTTATTCAATGTTTATCAACGATCTACGAACAAAATTTTTGTTTATTTTCGAATACAAAAATTCGAACTTCATCGACCGGTTCGCGTCTTGGATAAGTTTCACAAAATTTTTCAATATCAACAAAAGACTTGTTTAAAGTTTCTTGACTTAATATTGGACATTTAACTGTTGAATAAGAAATAAGTTTCTACTCAAGGTAGCTTAAACTTTCACTATAAAATATAAACCTTAGAAAACAGCTTAAATTAGTTGTACAAGAATTCTTAAACTAAAAAATATTTCAGATATCGTGACTCATTACTTGCTAAAAATGGAAGCATTGGATATTTTAGAGAAAAGAATAGATGCTTTGAATAATATCCTTGGTACCAATGAGGGCGAATCAAGTGATATGAGAGAAAATCTAACCGACTCGCTAATGTCAGCAAATACTTTGATAACATCAGCAACGAGTGGACGAGAAAAAGTATCGGAAATGATGAAAAGAACAAATGAATTGGAAACTTATTTAGATCCAGAATTCCTTAACGATCAGCAAAACTTGAAGACAAAAGAAGTATATATCAATACAGTTGCTAATGATCTCGCAACAAGTTTCGAATCACTGCAAAAAATTAAATCTCTGGAGCCAACACTTGGGGCTGAATACTTCAGAAACATTCCTGATGTCACTGAAAAAATAAAAGAAATGAATGAGAACCTTTCTACATGTCAACAACAGAATGATATAATAGAGGAGAGTTTAATGATTGCGATGCAAAGATACAGCGAGATTCAAAGTGATTTACGTGACAAACTTCAGAAGATGAACGAGCGATTGGATAACTTTCAAGATCGTGTTGAACAAGCTAAGAAAAAAGCGAGCAACGAATAAAATTAAGTTGTCGCTGATCAATATCGTTTATCAATTTATCATATTATGAATTTTGAATAAACTCTTAAAATGTTCATTATTTAATAAAGTACTAAAATAAGATTTTCTTATAAGAGAGGAATTTCGAAGAAAGAGATGGAAGATTTTTGTTTACATTCGAAAATAATTTTATTGCAGATTGACTCACAATTTTGATAATTTTCTAATAAAATATTAAAATCTGCAATGGAATTAGAAAAGATTAAATCATTTTGTCAATTTTGTATGCAGGAACAAATGAATATAAAGCCGATGATACCAATTAATAAAGAATTAAAGCAAAACTTTTTTGAGTTAACGCGATACAAGGTAAATAATGAACATTCCTAAAAATATTTTAAAACTACTCTTTTAAATGTTTATTCCAGCTCAACACTAAAAGATATAGTGAATTCATCTGTTGTGAGCCTTGTTTAAAAGAATTCGAGTCAGTGATAGCATACCGAGAGACTTTATTAAAGAATCAAAAAGTGTTAAAAGATTTATATGCAAAATCATCAACTAAATCATCATTGAGCATTGAAAAAATTGTGAAAAATGATGAAGAAATTGAAAACGAACAAGATGTTAGTCAAGTTTTCGATATTGAAATATGCTCTAAAGAATTTGTTGACACTGAAGCATTAGTTGTTTGTGAAAATTGTCATGAAGAACTCAATGAAAGCTCTCTTGATCATCACGTTTGTCCACCAATGAAAGTAGAAGAGTTAGAAGAAAGTTACGAAGAGTTTCTTGAAGATTATGATGTTTTAGAAAATGAAGATTCTGATACAAAGAAAAAGAAATATGCAAAGAAGAGATTAAAAGATCCAATCACATGTCCAAAGTGCAACAGATTATTTTACTACAAAGCTTACTTTCAATTTCACTACAAAGATGTTCATAGTGAAGATCGAGAAGAAATTTGTCAGTTCTGTGGAAAACTATTTAAGAACAGTCGAAGATTAAATTCTCACATTCTTATTCATCAAAATGATTCTGAAAAGAAACATAAATGTGATAAATGTTCGAGGCAATTCAATTTTTCGGGAGATTTGACAAGACATAAGAGAGTAGGAAAGAAAGAAGAAAATCCTTATGAATAAATGAATTAATTTTGCATCCTTTTTCTAGGTTCATGAAAATGTTAAACCATACAAGTGTCACCTTTGTCCAAAATCTTTTATCCAATCTTATGCTTTGAAACTTCACATCAATGTGCACAATAACGTTCGATACACTTGCGACTTATGTGCTGCACATTTTGGTGGTAAACCAACACTCAAAAAACACATGATTAAATGTTCAAATGGTGTTGCTGTCAAAAGATCAGCCAGATCAAATGCAGTTGAGCGAGACAGATATAAATGTTTAGTCGAAGCTTGTAAAAAACAATTTTCATCACGAAAATATTTAGGAATTCATTTGGAAAAAGTTCATGACATGAAATTTGAATGTTTCGAATTGACTTGTCTTGAATGCCAATTGGTATTTGAAACAACTGGAGAATATTCGATTCATGTGAAGACACATAGCTGCAACTTTGTCTGCGATCTTTGTAAGCTTCGATTCCGAACCGATGCCAAACTTCAAGCACATATCAAGAAGTTACACAAAGAAGGTGACGATCGTCCATTTATTTGTCCCGAAGTTGATTGTGGTGCGAGATTTAAAAGAGCTGAACATTTAAAGGGTCATCAGCTTTATAAACATTCAGATGAACGCAAATTTGAATGTAATCTTTGTGACTTAAAGTTTCGACAGCGTGGAGAGTTCAATATTCACATGAGGTATTTTTTCTTTGGCTTTTTCGTATTCTTTTCCATTCTCATTTCTTGATTCTCACAGAGTTCACATGAATTCAAAGCCATTTGCTTGTTGGCAATGCAACTTTGTCTGCACAACGTCTTCAAATCTACGCCAACATATGTCGCTCGTTCATAACGAAACTTGCATTTATTTGTGTAAGATTTGTCATCAGACATTCAAGTACAACACAGATTTAACGCAGCATAAAAAAGAGCATTCAGCGACGACGACGACGACAACTTTTGAAGTTATTGAAGCAAATTAAATAAAATGTTTTAATAAATTTTTTTATACTTTGAAAAGCTTATAAACAGAGATTATTTTAAAGATAAATTAGATTCCCAGAAGTGTTTGCCTTGAAGCATTTCAAAAGATATTTCAACAAGGTTCAAGTGAGAAAAGTTCTCTTTTTTTATTCTTTTTGTTGCCGCACCTTTTTTCAGCCTCATCAACCCATGGAATTAAACAATCCTTAAATTAAGAAAGAAAGTTTACAAAGGTGACCCTCGCTAATGACTTCTCAATTTTCCATTATCCTCATCATCACGGCTAAGGATAAAACTTTCGTACTTTCATTTTCCCTTCTTTAATAAGCAACCATGAAGTGCGAAGGAAAAGTTTCATTTGCTGTCTTTGTTTCTCTTATCAACTGGAAAATGATTCTTGAAGAAACACTTTTCGATTTTAAACGACAATATAATTTGAAAAGTTTTCATCTTTGTGTGGGAGTAGATGGATAGATGGATTTAGAAATAGAAAGGGGAGAAATATTTACACATGCAAGCAAAGTTCACCACCTGAAAGAAACAGAAATTCTTTCTCCTTTTTTCAGAGATTTCCACAAACATTTTTCGATTATCGAAGCATTTTCTTCTCATTTTCTTGCATAAAATATACCGAGACATAAACAATGAACATCTTGAGAGATAAAAAATTATTATTCCAATCACAATTTTGTGCATTCATCTCAGACTAACGCAAAACAAATACACAATTATATTACGAGGCCCATATTTCTTGGGAAACTTTCTTCACAGCACACTTATTTACTCATGGAAAAACCTTTTTTTTGGCCAAACAAAAATATGTATTTATCGAACAGTCAGTCCCTTTGACTTGGAATAACTTAAGTGGATTTGAAATGAAAAGAAAAGAAAAGGTTTTCCGGCATGAAAATTCAAATTTTTTCTTCCTTTCTTCAACTCTCATTCCGTTTCATGTCTCAATACTTTCCCAATTTGTCGGAATAAAATCAGTCTGTTGCGAGAAATTCATCCAACCATAAACAAATCGAGCAAAAGGAAACAAGCATGGAAAATGAGAAAAAGGATTCCATTCCCATCTGAAGCACATTCTTTACATTGAATCGTTTTTCATAAAATGTAAAGTAAACAACGCCTGATGGGAAGAACAAATATAGATTCGAACATATCTAGATTCCAGATGTATGAATGTCTCTTGTTAGATATCAATTGGTTATTGTGCTTTCGGCGAGTTTCTGCAAGAAACTTGCAAATATCGAAAAAGAAATTCTTTCCGACAATCTCAACACTTAAAACTTCATGATTTGTCAGCTACGATTTTTAAGCTGCTTTCTCACACGACAGCTTTTTTTAATGAAAAGCTTTTTAAAACAAAATTCCTGCTTTGCTTTCTATTTTCATTTGCACGTCATTTCAACCTGACTAGAAAATTGAAGCAAACAAATCGCTTTAGATTCTTCCATCACAAGCTTAACTGACATTCTTCTGTTCGTTTTCATTCACAATCAACAATAAAAGAAGTGCAACGACAGAGAATTTTTCAATCCAATGCTTTAAACATTTACATGATTGCATGTTTTCGTCATGATATGAGTTCGGAATCAACAATCATCAACAGCATAGGGAAATTGAGATGCAATTGTAAATTTGCTGGAAAGTTCTAGTCAGGTCAACGCAAAATGGTTCTTGAACTCTCAATGCGAGAAATTAAATTTCAAAGCCTTGAATGATATTTTTTCTGTTTCTGAATGTCAATCAGTTGTTGAGTTTCATTTGGGAATATTTAATAGGAATACTGTTTGATTGAAAGTGCTGTTGACAGAACATATACACTCGGATTTAAGCGATCCTTAACAATGTCAGCAAATTTTTTCACATCCTTTGTTAGTATGGAAATTCAATTTTCTCTCTGCAGTTGACAATTGAGCTGTTCGAACACTTCAAAAGTTTTCCTACCCGAAATCATTTTCAATTTACCTTTTCCGATGTTTAATACTCTTTTTTCAGATAAATGAAGATGATTTGGATACATGAGTAGCTTTATTCCTCTATTTTCAAGTTGAAAGCATAAAACCATTAAACATAGAAATTTCGTCTGTCTTAAGTCTAGACCTTTGTCATGATTATTGTCTTCACATACGCATCACACGTTATTGTTCACTTAAAACATTGACTGAAATCATGAAACAGGTTTATCTCCATCAGACTTAAACACATTTAAACAATTGATAAAGCTTTTGAGTAAACGTTTCTTAGCGGTCATAAAGCAAAGAATAAAAACATTATTAATTGTTAATAAAACATTATTAACAATATTAATTTCATAAAATTGCAAATTAAAAGTTCATAACATATATTGAAAAAGAATTCAAGAATTCTAAACTTATAATTCAATGCTATCCCATCTCAATAAAACCGATGACAAACTCTCAACATGCGGCATATGTAAATATAAAATCAATGTTTAAAAACATTGATTTTTTCTAATTTGTTCTTTTCAACAAAAAAACGATCAGTTTGATTATTGCTGTCTTGTTGTTGAGACGTCCAATTAGCACGCAATTATTCCAAAAAAGCAAAAGTTCTTGATTAAGACTGCTGAAAAGAATTTAAAACATAAAGGAAAGAGAATTTCAATTGCAGAAGACATGAAAATTACTGCATTTGGTAAGAATTAGAAAATTTAGAACATTTCTTAAAGATAAGACGACAAAGTCAAAAGATCAATTTCGATGTTTTTCGGGTTTTTTGCGAAACTTAAAAGCAAAAGTTCTTCATTTAAATTACTGATAAGGATTTGAAAGATAAAGAAAAGGGAATTTGAATAATAAAAGACAAGATTATTACTGCATTTAGTAAGAATTAAAAAATTAAGGACGCTTTTCTTAATAACGATAAGACGAAAACGTCAAAAGATCATTTTTGATGTTTTCGGGCTTTTGCGAAACTAAAATAACATGAAGAAAACAGCCGCAAGAACAGTCACAATGTAAAGCTTGTTACTACTGTGAATGTTTCAATGTGGGAAATTCCCAAAGTCATAGAAACTCGTTTAAGAAGAGGAATGAATTTCTTTATATACTATTTAACATTATCAAGCTGCTTTAAATATTGTTTTGTTTATTTTCGTTTCAGGTTTGTTTGTTGTAAGCTGCTGGGTAGCGGTAAACTGCGGTAGTGAACGTTATTCTTCTTTTTAAGTATCAATTTTTAAGTTTTTATTATTTCATTTCAAAGATCGTCTCACTTATGTGGGTCCCAGCAATGATCGAAGTTTCATTTATTCGTATAATGGAAATCAATTCAAAGTTAATAAAGATTTCCATGAAACCTATCAAGCAGATGCCGAGTTTGCCGAGCGTTCATTTCTAAGAAATTCTGTAAACTTTTCGAGTCGTGGCGGTGAAACTTTAAGACATGATGAGACTTCACGAGTTCAAGGGCCAACACCCGAAGAAATACGCAGAGCTCAAAGTATTCATACCTTCAGACCAAATTCACGACCACATATATCTGAACTTGGAATTCAGTTTCCTGATCCCAGCACTGAATCTGATTCACTACCAGTTCATTCTACCGGATTCAATGTTCCCATTCCAAAGGATCGAAACAAAGAACAATCTGGGACAAATTATGCACAACAAATAACAGAATTTGCTTTGAACCTTTTTAAATATTCCAACAACCAAGAAAATTTCGTTCTTAGTCCACTTTCGCCTCAAATATTGTTAAGCTACTTAGCGTGGGTGGCAGATGGACAAACAAGAAATGAACTTGTTCGCACAAATGGATTCGGTAATCCTGATCAAATACAAAGCATTGTTTCATCAATGTTATCAGATTCTTCTGGCAGAGAACTTCAAATCGCAACAGCTTTCTTTATTTCTCAAGAAATGAGGTTTGTAAGCATAATAAGTATCAATGATATCGACATAAATTCATTTTCGACTTTAAAAACAATTTTTTTCTCCAAGGTTAAACCAGGAATTTTTAAACAAAGCTGTTCGTTCAGTTGATGTTGTTCCAGTTGATTTTAAGCAACCAGAAATAGCTGGTAGAGTGATCTCTAAATGGGCAAAAAGTAAGACCAAGGGTGGCCTTAAACTCAAGGAAGTGAACTACGCACCTGCTACAAAAATTGCTTTGACCAACGCTATTTATTTCAAAGGCAATTGGATTTACACATTCCAACCATCGAAACCTGGCACTTTTAACACACCAACTGGACCAGTGCAAGCCGAAATGATGAACATGAAGCGTAAATTCCATTGGGGTGAAATTAGTAACTACGCTCAATGGGTTGCAATACCTTATGAGTCATCTGACTCTCTAGTCATCATTTTACCCAATGAAGATCAAAAAATTGATTACGTTATGAGTTTAATTGAAGCTCGTGATCTTGAAAATATCATCTACAATGTTGATAGTGATTCAAGCAAAGCTGACGTCAACATCACGTTACCAAAATTCAAAATTGAGAGTACAACGAGCTTGGTCGCACCACTTCAAAAGGTTGTTTAATATTTTATTAATATTTTTTTAGTTACTAAAGATTTTTTTATTTTTTCAGATGGGAATCACAACTTTGTTTACTCCACGTGCCGAACTTCCTTACTTATCTGATTATGATGCTGTTGAAGTGTCTAATGCGCAACAACAGGCATCAATGGAAGTTAATGAAAATGGAACCGTTTTAATTGCCTTCACCAACCTAAATGTAGTTGCTTTAAGCTTCCAACCAGCTGTACCAAATGTCGTATTCAATGTGAATCGACCTTTTATTGCAATCATTGTTGATCGCAAGAAGAACATCCCATTCGTCATGGCGAAAATTACAAATCCAACTGCTGCATAATTAATTTTTTTTCTCTCGTTTTATTCTGATTATGTGTCAATGTATAATGAAATTGATACAAAGCAAATTAATTAAACATTAAAATACCGTCTGTTTTGTCTAAGTGAGATAACACTTAAATATATCTATTTTGTTATTATTTTTATTATTTAAAATTAAATATTTTCCAAGTGACAGACTGAATTCTGTTGAGCGTTAAAATACTTCAAAAATTAAAAGAAATATTGAAGGAGAGGAAGAATCAATCGCAAAGGCTTTTATCAGTTATCTCGAATTCTGTAAAGAGAAGAGATGCAACATGTGAGTTCTTTTCATTGTCAAAGAGTTTTTCAATATTTTTTTTAGTTACACTCACTTGTTTTTTTGTCACAATTTTCAAATCTTAAAAGGCACTCCGATCCAAATTTTCTAAAAGCACCTTTGTCATCTACGCCACAGACGTATTCATTTGCCGATGCACTCGGACATTGCACGCACTCATTTGCAAGAACATAATTTAGTGACATGAACATCGTTATGATGAGAAAAACTAGAAAATTTAATTTTATTATTTCATGTTTCTTAATTTTTTTGCTTCGACCTTTATTACTTGCAGTTAACTTATTTAAGCACTTCATCATGAAAGATCTTTACTAAGTATAGACGCCACCAATCACTTATTCACTGACAACTGAACAAAAAAGAAAAACAAAAAATCTTCAAATAATCTTCAGCGATTCTTTTCTCCTTCGCGTTCATCGAGCAACTGATGAGTTTTGAACTTTATTTTTCTGTTATATGCTTTTTACGTTCGGCGACTCTTTGAAGAATAAAAAATAAGTCATGTGTATCAGAATCTTTCGCTTTCCGCATGTAAGCCCGTGAGATCGCCTTTGGATATTCTCTTAATTTTCTCTCGTCTCCTGCAAATAATTTTCGAGACTCGTCAACTTCTTTCTTTTGCTGTCATACATCAATTATCCAAAAGAGAAAGAAAAGAGCGCCAAAATGTTTTCAATATCAGCAGCGACAGTTTTATTGTCGCCAACAGCATCGTGATCATGAATGGAGACGCTTCAAAAAAAGAAAAATTAAAATACTTGAAATATCTTCCTTCCAATTTTGTTGTCGCTACATGTCAATCAAAGCGCAAATTTGTTATTTCGAGAATGGGTGGCATTCTTATGACACTCGGCCAGAAACAACAGCGTAAGTATGAAGGTCGTTTACAGTGACTTTTCATGACAGCCATCTTATAATTGGCAGATAGAAATTGATAGTTTCATTTTTCAATATCAAATGCTATCTATTTATAGCTGCATCAATTCTAAATTACCTAAACGATATGAGCTGTGATGACTGTTGACATGAGAGATATTTTGACACAGACTTATTCTTTTTCCTTGGAATGTAGCAACAAAAACAACAACAACAACAGTTTTTTTTCTTCTTTTGAGAAAAAACATTCGCGTATTGGAGTGTGGCGCTAACGAGAGTCTTTCGACAATTACCGTGACTACATATGTACATATAACTTAGTTCTGTCTAGTCAACGATAATTGTTTGAAGATCTTTTGCACTTCAAAGCATAGGCATCGATTAATTCAAATGATGTCGATAAATTGTTGCCAGTTAAGATACTTGTGCTATTGGAATGAATATCCACATTGAATTTACAATTCACACTTGAAAATCTCATGAGATCATTTTGTGTGGCGCTTCAAATGCTTTCGGAAACATTCAAATACTGATTTATAATAGTGGCGCCAAGTAATTAGTGATTGAAGTAGAAGAAAGATCAAGTACCTACCACTTATCTCAATAATAAAGGCAAAATAAAATATCAGATGAGCGAGTGTTTTATTTGACGTTTAATGACTTATAAATTGAAAGCTACTGAAAGATGAAATAAAAATTATCTGCATGATTTCATTTGATTAAAAAGATGCAATTACTGACATCTTTTAGGGAATTCTTCAACAAAATAATGTTCAGTTAAACTTTTCATAATCAACTTAATTGGCGTAATTGAATTTAACGAAACTAATAAAGACTCGTCAATTTATCTCACATAACATGAGAATTTTAAACGTATAGTTATAAATGCGACAATTAAAATAATAAATTTGATTTTACATTTTATATTTTACAAGAAATTTCCAGGAAATTAAATATTACAAACTATCATCAATGTGTTTCTAATAACTTCAATCGATTCTAATATAAACGAGACATGAAATAATTTTTGTTTATCTAGATACANAAAAAACAGATTACTAATTAGAAAGACATTACAAAATGCTTCAAAGCACAATTTAACTGCCGAGTGTTTCCACTTACAACTAAACGAAGACTGAAAATGAAACGACGAACAATGTGATAGATCGCCGCTGTTCGCTCTCTTTTTCTCTCTCTCTTGTTGAATCCTCACTAACTTTACTCAAGGGGCAGATCATCGGAAAAAATTGGGGGGCAAAAGCACTATTTTAACGGGAAGCACTAGAAGCACTACGAAGCACTATGAAGCACTATGAAGCACTATAAAGCACTAAAAGCATCATGAATCACTATGGAGCACTAACAGGTTTCTCCAACAGGTTTCTTTATTTTACATTCAAAACTGATTTATAATAGTGGCGCCAAGTAATTAGTGATTGAAGTAGAAGAAAGATCAAGTACCTACCACTTATCTCAATAATAAAGGCAAAATAAAATATCAGATGAGCGAGTGTTTTATTTGACGTTTAATGACTTATAAATTGAAAGCTACTGAAAGATGAAATAAAAATTATCTGCATGATTTCATTTGATTAAAAAGATGCAATTACTGACATCTTTTAGGGAATTCTTCAACAAAATAATCTTCATTTAAACTTTTCATAACCAACTTAATTGGCGTAATTGAATTTAACGAAACTAAATAAAGACTCGTCAATTTATCTCACAAAAATGAGAATTTTAAACTTAATTATAAATGCGACAATTAAAATAATAAATTTGATTTTACATTTTATATTTTACAAGAAATTTCCAGGAAATTAAATACCTACTACAAACTATCATCAATGTTCTTCTAATAACTTCAATCGATTCTAATATAAACGAGACATGAAATAATTTTTGTTTATCTAGATACATAATTCTTTTTATTCATGAAATATTCATATAAATATTTATGATTTATGATGAATTTATTCCGTATCCCGAAAAATAACTGCACAAGAAAATTGCTACATTTTAAATTCGAAGCAAGTTCAAAAACTTTGAACAGATAATAAAGTTATGAACCTCTTAGAACTTCTAAAACTATGAAAAGAATTTCTCTTGAGTACTACCTTAGTCAAATTTAAATTTAATTAAGTTTCACAGGGTTATTAGATTAAAATTAAATTGTAAATTGCATAGCGAAATTCATACCCTCGTTATTCACAAATAGATTTTGATGTTGATTTAATTTAAAGTCTTCTGACTTATTTTTTTCAACGATTTCATATTGATGGATCTTATTGATTTGTGCCTTAAATTTTATGCATACATTTTATGTATAAAAAACTAAACTTAAATATATATTTTTGTACATATTGAAATCTCCGAATCCGTCAGAATTAAATGAGAGGAATTTAACAAAGATTCATTTCCCTTCACATGTAGAATAAAATGTTCCAAGTTCCCCTTCTTTGAAACAGTTAATTTATTTATGGCAAATTTAACTAATAGAGTAGGATTTTATGCTCGCCTTGTGACATATTTTGTTGTTTTTTATAAAGAAAATTATCGTCTATTGAAAAGCAGTAGGTGGCAGATAATAAATGTGAACAGAAATTGAATAGTTTAACAACATGATATTAATTTTCTAACTTCATCAATAGATGTTTAAATATTGATTATGAAACTGTAATCAAATAATATGAAGTCAAAGAAAATTTTAATAGGCACAATTATGTTGAAACTTAAATATTTATAACGTGGATTGCTTCAATTTCTCGCTTACGTGAAGATAAATGATGACAAGGGAGATTATTGACCTTTTAATGGACTAACAAAAGTTTAGGGTCTTCAGTTGAACCTTTTAGTGATTGATGGAAGATGCGGCAACTTCAGCTTTGCTGGAATGATATAACAATTAAGTTTACGTCTTTCTTGTGAAAACATTTAAAAAGTTCAATATCATGTTCAATGACAAATACTGTGTCCAGTCATCCGTAATGTAAATTTATCCTTCAAAGTTGCCAATCGATAGATTTCCTTCTTAAAACTTTTTCTTGCATATTCTGCAAATATCTCTTTCATCTTGTAGAAAAAAAAGAACAATTTGCTTCAAATTGCTTGTACATATTATTCATTGCTTCTTTATTTCATATAATTCATTTTCTTTTTCAGTTTTTTTTCCAAGTTTCACATCGAAAGTTTTTTTCTTATGCAGAGACATAACAACACATGTTATGGTAAAGAACGTCAGCCGACGATTTTCCATAGAAACTTTTGATGCTATTAACAGGGAAAAAAGTTGTTTAATAATTTCTTTCTTTACTTTTGTTGTCTTTTTCTTCTCCCTTCACAAGACAGAAGAGGGAAAAGTTTGTCATGTTCTTCGTGAAACTCGATGGTTCTTTGGGCTTGTATTATTGAATCTTCTTTTCTTTTATATGTTGTAATCCTTGGGAAACTAGATATATAGTTGAATGAAATGAGGTCATGATACACTGAAGTGAATAAGCGTGAAAATATCATCCCTAACATATAAATGATTCCAGTATAAAAGAAATTATTTATGTTCTTTTAATTTTTCTATTTCCAACATTCATCGTAAGTTAAGCATCCGACATTTGTATTGACATCATCTAACAACGCATAAATGATTTATTATCACTTTTGTCTTCTCGAATGTTTCCTTAGTTTTTCTTTTTTCGTTGTTATGACAAATTGATGATTTCTGATCTTTTATAAAAGAAATTTATTGTGTAGTTTTAGTTCCTTTTAAATATGAATTAAATTTACGAAGTTTGTTGCTTTTGCTATCAAATGGAATTAATGAGACTACAAGTTGTAACATTTACCAAAAATCCTATAATTCTCATTTACAACAACATCAACTTCAAAATTTTCAATGCTACGTCAGAAAATTATTTTCTAAGAAATATTGTAAGACGCATTTAAAATCAAGTTGACAGTAATCTGAAAAATTAAATTAAGAAGTTTCTGCTTTCAATGATAATCACTTTACGAGGATTTAAAATATAAAGCGTTTCTGAAAAATATTTGCTGATTATAACTGAAAGCAAATATCTAAACGAGAAAATGTAAATTACGAGGTCGATGTTCTTTTTTCATTTTTCTGTCGCTTTACGATGAATTTCGTTTAAGTTAAGACGTCAAATAACATCATTATCATTTACAAACTGACATGAAATCTTTCAAGACTTGGTAACTCCCTCAATAAATAAAATTTAAAAGACTTTATCCTCAAACTTTTCTCATAAGCATCAAAAACCTGCAAAAATTTGTAGTTTGGGAGCTACTTACATATGTCGGTATAAAAGCAACTTGTGTAAGGAAAATTGATCTTAAATTAAAGAAAAATCAACTCTAGGCACAACTTTTCCCTCAAAATCTTTTTATAGCAAAAGGAAAACGAAAAATATTGAATGATTTTTTTTTCAATTGCACTCATGGGAACTTTATTGCTGGAGTTGGTTCTCGTTTTGATGTTTCACTCGTTTTCTTCTTCCCGCTTTTGATTCTTTCATTCAAAGACTTTCTTTTCATAGCAAATTGCATCAACAAAACAGACGCGAGTTGCGAAAAAGAAAATAAAAGAAGAAAGTTTTTCTTTGCTGTTTTTTCTTCTTTCGATTGAAAGAAAACTTATTTTTATCCTTCTTTTCCTGATGGAATAAGAAAATAATTTTTTGATACAACATACGTTTAAACAGAATCTTTTCTATCAAGAGATGAACAGTGAGAGTTTTTATTATTCTATGAGTGTTCTGCCTGTATCGTCTGAACAAATATTGAAATATCACGCTAGGTTTTTCGGGTATTTTTCTAGGGAAATTTCATAAAAGATTGAATATTTGCGAGAATCAACTTCAAGTATCGTATGTGGTTTCATCCTTTGTTGAGTGAAAAAATTGACTGATACATTCATTTAGATTTTCCTTTCATCGGCAGCTATTCATCATTCATTAATATCTCAAAACATAGAAGCCAAAACACTAAGAATTCTTTTGTATCTATAAAACTCTATCTGAAGGAGAATAAAACGTTTCTTGAAAAATCTTCGTAGATATTTTTTTCTCATTTTCAGAGAGAATGAATTTAAACCAGGGGTCGGAAGCTTAACGATTTTTCGCAAAAAGCTTCTAAGCTTCCGCTTCGGTCTGAAAAAGCTTCCCAGCTTCCGCTTCGGCTTCTCAAAATTCTGAAAAAGCTCCCAAGCTTCCGCTTCGGCTTCTCAAAAAGTTGAGCTTCTTTAAGCTTCCAGCTTCCGCTACCGCTTCGGCTTCCGACCCCTGATTTAAACTCAAGAGCTCTCGAAAGAAACAACATTTTACATCCACCCACCCTTAGAAAGCTTTTCAAGAGTCCTTCAATAGAAAATGTTTCCATTCTAAGTGATGACTTCTTGAAAAGGCGATTGAATGAAAGGAATTCGTGTTAACAACGAGGACCGATTCATTTTTCTCCAATAAATTATTTTGAAAGATAAGTTTGTAAAGAAAATAAACAGAAAATATTGTGTGAATAATTTCATGTTTTAAATCCTTAAAGTTCTCTCAATTTCCAATAAAAATAGAAAACTTCAACTGATATGGAAATCCTTTTTCTAATATTTCGTCAAAATCGAACGAAAAAGTCATCTGAGTGAAGCAAAAGTTTTATCAACCAGAACCGATGAATTCATAACTTAACTTTATTCACCACAATTTTCCAATCGAATAAAAATATTTCTGTATCCGACTTTAATATTTTCCACAGCTTGAATTCCATTGTCGATGCTTAGCTATGTCTTCTTCAGGAGTCGGTTTAATGTGCTTCAATGCATCTCTCAAATGCTGAAATTCAACTTCGAAATCTGAAAAACTTTCACATGAACTGCTTTTGATTTTCTTCCGGATAATCATCATGTTTGCTTCCTTGACTGCCACTCTCAAGTCATCAGCAGTAAAATTCTCTGATAACGTTGCAACTTCGTTTAAATCTTTATCACGCCAATGTTGAGCTGATGGCAGAAAGTGTTTAATGAGAATCAGACGTTCACTGAATGAAGGCACATCGATGAGAATTTTTCTTTCGAAACGTCGAAGAAACGCTTGATCAATTTCCCTGAAAGTTTTATTTAAAAAATAACTTTGAATGTAATCAAAGCCAATTCGAAGCTCACCAAGGCATATTGGTTGATCCTAGCACAAAAACTTTCCCTTCTTCCACCCTTTCCAAGCCATCCAACATTGAGAGAAATTCGTTCTTTAACCGCTTAGATGCTTCATGTTCTCGTGAACATCGCTTCGATGTTAAACTGTCTAACTCATCAATGAAGATAATCGATGGCGCATGAAACTTTGCGAACTCAAACAGAACTCGGATTAGTTTTTCTGATTCTCCGCGCCACTTCGAGATCAGTGTACTTGCAGCAACATTGAAAAACGTTAAATTTTCATGGGTTTCCGAACACAAAGCTCTTGCTAACATTGTTTTACCGCAACCAGGCACACCATGTAACAGAACAGCTGTGGGGAAAGTAAGATTAACATTAATTTTGCTACAACGAGATTATGTCGAAGGTCACAAACCTTTCCATGGATGAACGCGATTAAACAGCTCCGGATATTTAACCGGAAATATAACACTCTCCTGTATTATCATTTTGGCATCATCTTGACCCTTAATGTCATCCCATTTCACGCATAAATCTTTTGTTATAACATCCTTAAAGATAATTTCTGTCATTTCCCTCCAATCGGACGGATGAGTGTTGAAAAAGTCATGATTCGATGACATTGCTTTGGAAAAGATTGGCGACAGCTTTACATTGTTGACATCGTCGTGTGTGGATAGAGATAAACTGAATACTCGTAAACATTCACTCGTTTCGATATCTTTAACACAATTTTCGGGAAAAATTGTGGACATTTGAGAAGCTGTTTTAAGAGATGAACGTTTTTTGGCAAGTGATGAACGACTTTCGACGGAAACAGGATGTGTTGGTTTTGGAACATTTTGGTCAACTTTCTTTATGAAACGAGGCTTCTTTCCAAATTTAACTTGAAAATAACTACAGAACTCGAGATACATTGTCTCCAAATCCACATTATCACAAACAAAAAAGTCGTTTGAAAGTTGAGTTTCATCAATCAAGGCTGAATAGCTTTTTAGTAATCCTGTCTCTTTTAGATATTCGGCAATTAAGTAAATGATATTTCTGCAAAAAAAATTGCAAACTTCTTGAAGGCATTCTCTTATGTCTATATTCTTATCAGACACTTACCGTCTTCGCTCATGAACGCTTCTTCGATCGTGCTGATGAAACATAAAAGAAAGAAAGAAAAACGAAGAAAGACGTTAGCGAATGCCATTTTAATTAAAAAGTTTTTCACCTCTGCCATTGCGTACGCTTTGCTTTCTCTTCTTTTTATTTGCGCAATTAAATATTTAACTTTGTCAGTGTAGATTTTAATTTTCAACAGTGAAGAAAAACAAATAATGAAATGAAAATTTATTCCGAAAGTTGAGTTTAAATGTTGTATGGAAATAAACAAAATAACTTCTATTTGTTACTAGGGTTACAAATGAAAAAGACATTTAAATCGGTCTGCTGAGAATATGCTATTGATACTGAAAGTTTAATTTTGATAATGTCTATGGAGGTTTTCTTGACTACAAAACAAATCAAAGTCTTTTGTTTTATTGATGTGGCCAATATTTGGTTAATCGATGAAACAAAGTTTTATTGTAGACCAAATAACAGATAATGTTTGGATGGAACTTTCTATTGTTCGATTTAAATTACTTTCCTTATGTCATCAGATATCATTTCTAATTAAATTCAGTTGACAGCTCCTCGAACAGTTCCCTTTTCTTTATCTCTTTTTCTTCTAAACTTTCATATTGTATAAGAAGTTGCATAAGATTCAGGCTCACTGAAAATGTTTTCTCGAAACTTTCATTTTATCAAAATGAAAAAGCAAGCACATGAAATTAACTTTTAAAATGTTTTATCTCTTTTTTGAGTTCGAGAGGTTTCGATCCGATTTCATCCTTCTAAATCCCTTAATAAATCATTTTCTGATAACCCAAACAACCTTATCGAACAACATTTACACTTACATGGGATTAAATTAATGCGTTTATTTTTGTTCGTGCTTTCGTGCTTATATCTTGTATTTACACTTATTGACTTTCATTTTTGATTCCCAATTTTTAGCATTACGCGAATGCTACAAAAAATATTCTTGAAGCAGATTTTTTCGATTTGGTTTATCGCTGGTTTAACATTATTGACTTTTATTTGATTTATTCAAATTCAATTCGATTGACTTGCTTGATTTAAATGTGCATTATATAAATTGAAATAAAAAATGAGGCTTGGAGAAAACATAGGAATTAGATATGTAAGGTGTAAGAAGAACAATTATTTTGGGAATCTTATGTGATATCTGGATGAGTATGGTTTCGATGAAAATTTATAAGCATAAACCAGATTAAATTTTCAGTTCAATGGATTCGACTATATACTTATTTTTGCCTTCTATGTGCAAACAACCGACATTAATAAACTGTTTATTTTATAGCACGAGAAAATTGAGAAGATTATTAATGATATCAAAATAAATTATAGTCGTTTTTATTACTTAGCGTTGATGTCTGTTGTTTGTATTAGTCATTTCAAAAGTTTCATGAAATTTCTTTTTATTTATTTTTATTATAAGGAAATTTTACAAAAATGTGAATATCTTTAATGCTATTTTTACTCTTGCTAGTATCATTCTATATGAATGGAAACATCTCATTTTAAAAGTAGATATAAATTAAGAACAATCGGCTTTCTATGGAAAGATTCGGGTCACATGTCAAAAGTAATTCAAATGACTTTTTTAATAAAATTGGTGTAAAGTACTTTGTGATTCGATGCTTTTATTATTAAGTGTCTCAATTCACATTTCCAAAAGCCGAATAAGTGACAACGTTAGATGATAATAGAGTCATTTCATTAAAAAAACGGAACGAACACAAACTTCTCTTAATTTATCGTTAATTCAATAAACAGACGAAAAGCAGCTTGAAAACTGAAATGCCGACTTGATCCCATTTGATGCTTGTTTTCAGTTCTTTCATTTTTTTAGGTTTGTTTCTCTCTTATATTTAGTTGCATTCGTAAAATGTTCTCTGTAATTGGTTTAACTTAATTGAGAATGAAATGATACTGAACTAGATTATTTATGGAGTAAAACTTTATTTTATTTGGAAAATTTGCATTGTTTTGCTTTGAAGTTTGTTCAATCATTTTACATTGAAAAATTGAAAATACTTTTCTCCAGATGTTAGTATGGATCATCTAGATGATAATTTATTGTGCAAATGAATAACTAAGCCCCATTTAGAATACTCAGAAACTAAATTGAATAACATAATAATGATCCTAGAATAAGATACGAAGACAGTAGACAAATAAAATTATCCAACAATTAAAAATATACTGCAAAGCTACTGTTGTAGTAATCATATGCTTAATTACATGTTCTGTAAGATAATAAAGAAATTGTCAGATTTGATTGAGATGAATGAGCAAGATAATTGTAATAAATATCCTTAAGTCAAGTCAAATCAAGATCGGACTATGACACTCGTAAAACTTCTCGATTGCTCTCCCAATCCCATTGATTTTTCGGTCATACAAGATAAAGATGTTTCCCCAAAATAATTCAGCATATTGGGGGAAATGAAAATATTGAAAAGAAAAACATGGAAAATCTTTTGTAATCTCTGAGAATCCATGGGAGGGATCCATTAAAATAAATTGAAGGAATAATTTCATCGCAAAGATCTTATGTTTGAATCTTCCTCCTGATGTTTTTGTTTCGAAATTTCAACATTATTCCCCCTTTTTTGTTTGCTTTCTCGACCATCAAGCCATTTATGTTGTTGCTTTGTAATTTCATCACTTTATTGAATATCAAACCATCTTATTTTAGTCATTCTTTCAGAAATGTCGGAATATTATAATTGCATTGCTTTGTAAAAAGCTTTTTGATTTTTGAATAGTTTTCACTTTTTCTCTTTTCATACATAATCTTCAACATCCCTTTTGAACTGAATAAAAATATTTTCCCATTTATTTTCAAGTCAAGTTTCCTCGTTGAACTTGGTGCTTTTTCTCATGCAGATGGATCAAAATGTTCACTTTATTTGCTTATTTTTTTCTTGCTAGCATATCTTTTTAACAATTGCTGTTAGTTCCTTTAAAATATAAAAACAGAACTCGACTATCTATGTTTTAATACGGAAGCTGAAATCTATTCATAAACACGAAAGCTTATTTTACAAATGATGATAGAAATGTTTGCGGTATCCATGGTATTTCTTTCATAATCTTGTTTTCATTCAGCACTCACTTGAATGAGAACAAAGAATATTTAAATTGGCTAACAATTGGACATTTACATACATACGCAAATGACCACAATTCTGATTTATGTGTGTAAAGATTCTGCTGGAACATGAAAATGATTATTGAAAAATTGAAGCAGAAAATCGAAAATCAAATAAATTTATTTGAAAGGGCGTTAAACATTAATTGAACTATGTCGAAAACAAAAAAGAAATTTGCAGTGACAATGCTGTGTATTCTGGCAATGAAAAGTGCACAATAGAAAAAAGAACAACAACTGTGAAATAATTGAGTGTAGATATAAAAAATTAGAGAATTTAAAGAATTTCTTTCTTTTGGAGAGAAGAAAAACCTCGAGAGAAGAAGTTCAAGAAAAAGTTTGTTGCAATTTGCAAAGAAAGAGAATTTAATCAAATTTTATCTCCTAGAAGTATTTGCATAAAAGCATCTACAATATTGAAATTATTGATTGATCAATGATCACAGAAAATATTTTTATATTAGAATTTTTTTTTTTATAAAATGTAAATCTTTTAAATTTGTAATGATTATAAAACGCTTTTTGATAAATGTTGCAAATTTATTTAAATGCCTGATTGTAAAATGCAACTTAAAATCATAAGAATTCTGTAAGGAAGCATGAACAGATATCATCATCATCATCATCATGCAACCCTAGAAAAGAAAATCACTCTCGCTCTCTTGAATATTTTTTTCGGTGAGAATGAGAACATTGAACAGACAGTTTGTGTGAAGAAGTCATCCAGTTCGCATTCAGATTCGAATTGGTGAAGACCTGTTAAATTTATGTTGTCGTTTATTCTTGGAAAGTCTTTGATTGAAACTACATCAGAAGAATCATCATCATTTCGGATTAAATTACATTGGATTAAATAACACTTCCATCAAATGTAAAGAAGAAGAAAAAAAGTGAAATCGATGAGCGAATGGTAATTTTATTAAGTGATGACAAGTTATAAAGTTCCATCATAGAAAAAATTATTGATGCGTGATTTATCTTTGGAAAATTATTATCAAGTGATTTAATAGTCGCTGAGTTTTAAAGAGAAAGAAATTATCAAATAAAAAGATATTGAAATAAATCATCTGAGTGGATAATCATTACAAAAAATAAAATGGAATAATTTAATATCAGAAGTGATAGCAGGAGATCTCAATTGAGTGAATGGCTGGAAAGCATAAAGTACACAGAAAGTTAGAGTGCGACAGATTCCCATGCTAAATAGGAAATGTTAATTGAATAATTTTTTATTATCAACGTTTACATTCAAAAACCAACAGCAATCAGACGGTTGACTGAATAAATTTGTGTTCAGCTTCATACATTTATTTATCTACCGTAGGAAAGCATAAAATTCACATAATCTCATATGCTACATGAGCATGAAAATTCGGAAAATATATGAAAATTTTGAAATATTCTCGGAAACGTGGTAGGAAAACATAAAAAGAAAATTCTCAATTTTCGTAAGAAAAATGTTTGTTTAATTTTTTTCCAATCTAAGAAAGCAAGAAAATTCGTGGTCAGAGTTTAGAAGCAAATTTGATATCAAGAAAAAAATAGAAAGATGCACAAAGCTCAAAAGAAAATGATGAAAAATCTAAATTTTATGTATTAAAGACATAAAAATTACCAGCGTTTAAAATTTCCCTCAAACATAACGAGAAAGTGGAAGTTCGTGCATTTAGAATAAATTAAGTTTTAACAACCCCGAAGTGGAACTGAGAAAATATAAAATAAAAAAACGAATTGAAGTGTGTTTACCCCGGAAACGACGTTGCGAAGTGTTGGGGGAACAGAAATTCGTTATTTGAGGTCTAAAGTCAGTTTCAATTGAATTGTTAGAACACACGAGACATTTAAGATATAAAATGGAACAACATAAAGCAACCACAACACATGGATTACCTCAATCACCTTCATTCAAAATAAAATCAACGAAAGCAAGCAAAAATGATGACCAAGCGTCGTCAAAGTGTATAAAGTTTCTCATTAATCTACTAATTTATGCTACATGTATACTGTCGTTAAGTATATCGGTGTATCTAAGTTATCGTCATCAACAGCTAGAAAGTAATGTTAGAAGTTTAATGTATTTAGATAAGAGAGTGTCGCAAATTGAGTATGATTTGGAAGAATTAACGCGAACGCAAACCGCTTTTAGCGAGGATGAGCGACGTGAAACGGTCAGCTTTGATGAAACAATTGTGAAAAAACTGCCGGTTCACGTTTATAGTGAAATTTCGCGTCTTAAACGTGACGTATCAAACCTCAAAACAGCGCGACGGCAAAGGCAAACCGCCATACAACAATCACCGAATGAAAATTGCATGTGTCCGCCAGGTGAGTCATGAATACTAATAAAATTCACATTAACTGTGGTAACAATTAAAATAAAAAGTACTTTGAATGTGTTTTCCCCATTTTTCAATCAAATATTTATCGTTTCTTGTGAGAATGGGGAAGTTTGATGAACAAATTAAAAACTAAAAGGATCAAAGGGTTCCAATTTCCAATAAAACTTCTAACGTATTTGCCTAGCTTCATCTTGGCTTCCCGTTAAGAATCCATAGGCAAATATTTACATAAACTTAAACCAAACTCCCTAATTCGCTTTCCTCTGATGTTGTTTTATTTGTTTAGATTTAACTCAAAAGTTTGAATGAAGTGAGTTATCCATGAATAGGCTTCTTTATTGTTAAAAGCAATCAAGATTTAGAGATTAGAATTGGGATTGTAAAGTAAATTTATTATCCTCATACTGAGCATACTTATTAAGTGGAAATATCTACTCAGTCGAAGCTCGTTTGAACCTTATCACCTAACGAGAAGGAAATGTCTTTATTCACTCGAAAATTATTACGTTGCCAGGTGTTTCAAATTGCAAACACGTCTTTAAAACGCTGTTTATGCACTCACAATGAGCTTGCCAACTATGGATCATAAAAAAATGTTATAAATCCGTTCTCAGCAACATCTTGGGTGACACGAACTCAATCTACTTAATCGCAACTTGACGATAAACATTTCTGAGAAAAATGGATATAAACATCCAATTCTTGACGATTTTCTGACTTCTTTACGATCTTCAATCACCCGCAAATGGAATCATCATTTAAATTCAGTTTTCCAATTTCAATTTTAAATTGCTTTAATTATCATTTTGTTATGCGCGTCAGACAGCTTATAAAACATGGCGAAAATATTTATCAAGAGGGGGAGAAGGATTTTTTTATTGTTCGCTGTAAAATTCTGACAACAAAAGTTGGGGAAGATTATACAATCATGGCTCATACTTCGCTCTGTAAATAGTCACATCACACACAAAATCAACTCGGAAAAGTTTTGACTGAACACTCAATTTAATTAAAAGTGAAATATTTTTTCAACATTTCTCCCCTTTTTACATTTGCCAATTTAAAAATCTGCTTGCTTTTCAACCATGCTCTTAAAAGTAGCGAAAATTTTCTGGAAACATTTTAAATACAGATAAAGTTAATTGTTTTAATAGTATTCAATTAATACCGTCTCTTAAGTACATAGTAGAAGCGAGTACAACAAATTCAAAGGCGTATTTTGGTAGCGAGTTGAAATGGGTTCGATGTTGATAACAATAGAATCAAAAGCGAGAGAAAACAAATTTCTATTTCACAAGAATTATTCTGTTGAGGATTCGTAGATTTTGCTCTTCGTACACTTTATGAAGCGAAAATAAGTTACAAATTAACATTCAATGAGCTTTCCAGAAGCTCCAAAACACCAGCAAGTATTTAAACTTTTTTTATTATTAGCCTACAATTCCAATTTAGTCCCTAATAATTGCCCTTTATGTGCTTACAAGCTTAACTTTTTATTATTTTCTATCCCCTACTACCCTGAATTTAGCTTATTTAATTGACTGTCTGTTTCCACTTTAGTTAAGATTCATTTAAGTAGACATTTTGAAATAAAGAAGAAGATTCATGAATCTCTGCTTTTTATTACGAAACATTGTCAGTACTCTATCCTTCGTCATGCTTAGATCACCTATAAAAATTCGTAGAACGTTCAATCGTAAACTCTTCTCGCATACCTTGTCAAAGGAATTTTGTGTAGATAAGATAGGCTTTCATGAGGAAAATTCTTCGTATAACAATCAAAGTGTTGTCATTAATTTTTGGTTGATGTATGCTATAACTTGTTTTATGGTGGAGAAAATCAAGATGATGTCAAGAAAGAATTTATTGATGAAATTGGCTTCCTAATTAGAAATTTCTTCGATTGATTCAGAAGCTTGTGTTAATAAATTACATTAATTACTTTTGACTCCCCTCGCCGAAAGCAGGAAGAATTTTTAGGGGTTGGAAAGCCATTCAATAAATTAATGGATTTTCATTTTATTTACTTAAAACAAGACCTAAAAGATTTTGTGGAATTTTCTTTTTTCGTCTAAAAAGTTATTTCGAATTTTAGAGAAAACGTTTTCAGGCTAATTACATATTTGTTCAATTTAAAGAAAATTTTTAGCTCCAGTTTCCTTTTTATGATACTTCTGCTTTGAGACGATGTTTTCATTCGTCAGCAAAAAATTGATTTTCTGCAATTTGAAGGATGCAAAAATAAAAAGTCATCAGAAAATTTCTATTGATACTTTTGGAAGTTACTGAAGTGTTACGATATGTTCACGGCCTTCTTGTGATGAATGATAAAATTGAACATGAAATCATTTTACAAAAATTGTGTTCAAAAAAATAAAAAAAAAGCTGGAGCTGAGTTGACACAATTGAACGAAATACTTTTCGACCGAGTTTTCAACAAATTCTCTACAATGTTGGAAAAAGTTTCACAAAAATAGAAACGAGTAGTTTATTACTATTTTCAGTGGTAAAATTTTTATTTCATTTACCCTTTACATTCGAAAATATTTTAAGAGTGGATCATAAAAACTTTTAAAACAAGTTTCTGAAAAAAAAAATGTTTACTCGACTCTTCCTTGATCTTTATGAATGGTACTCGAAATATTTTAACTTCTAGAAAAAATTTCTGTAGCCTTCAATGGTGAAGTTCGCGATGCGTTTAATTTTTAAAGTTTTATTTTTTAATGTAAGAGTAAATTTGTAATCTAAAGAATCGAGAGAGCAGATTGTGATCAAATTTGTTTCTTAAATTACTTTTTAATATCAACAAAATGGCATTTCTTTCTTTTTGCTTCAGTTAATTAAAAAAATTCTTCTTGTATATTTTATGTTTTATTAAATATCTAAGAATAGATTGAATATCAAATGTATATTTAATTTGATTAAATTAAACGTCAACTCCGATGAGTTAATAAACCGCCTACAAATTTGGCTTCAATAAATAATTGAATAACTTCTGATACTCGACGACAAGAACCCTCACCATTAATCTGTCATAAATCTTTCTTCTCGTATTCCCATCTCAGTAGAAAAATATCACGTTGTTAATTATTTACAAGAAATAATGTAAGATATGGGCCCTTAAATATTTTCAACGAGAAATTATTAGGCATTAAATGTCTGTCTCTAAATAAACTAAGTTTAATAAAATTATTTCTATAATGAACCCTGAAAAAGTGAAACTGCTATAAAGTAATTAAAAATGAATTTAAAGCAACAAACTTACTTCTTTTATACACTTAACAAGCTAATTTATTTTTGTTATAGAAAAAGCTTAGCAGTGTTTACTGTTGCTTTAAAATCTCGTAGAAAATGTTTCTCTGTTAGTCCATTCACAATGAATCCTTTCTTGAACCTCTCGAGTATCTTCTGGGTCACTGTTTAAGCCATAAAATGAGAAAAGTTGTTTAAAATAAAGTAAAACAAAGTTGATGAGAGCTCAGACGGAAGAATTCTCATATTCGAGTTGCAGACATTAAAATAAAAAGCAAAGAGTGTTGCAAAGCAAACGATCCGTTAAAATTAACTTTTGTTTTATTTTTGTTTCATGACACTTAGATATCGGAGTGAATAGTTTTGTGTTTTGTTCATTAAATATTTGTTTTATCATTTGTTGTTTAGTTATTTTCTCTCACAAGTGGACTCACAATTATTTCTTGGATGTTTCTATTCTCAACATGAACGAGACGATATTTTACTAAAAAGTGTTTATGAAAATGTAGAAGAAATTCTTCACGACAACTTGACAGTCCACGTAAGAATGTGAAATTGAGAAAGAAAATTAAAAGTGACTCAGTCAGTAGAGACCGTTGGTGGATGTCATAAAAACAGAACAGATTCAACATTACGTTAATCTTTTATTTTTTTCTCGACGACTTTTCAGTTGTCTTACAAAAATAGAATGAGTGGCATTTTCTCATTTTTTGGTGATGAAATAAAAATTCGTGTTCTAGAAATTTGAAAAATTAAAAATCAACAAATTATTAAGTTTTTAATGCTTGTTGACACAACATGTGCTTATTCATACTTCAAATATATGAATTAAAATAAAATACTTCTGTCTCTCGTTAATCATGCTTCTATTCATATCTAAACATATTTTTGAGACATTCAAAACAGTTTAAAAGATTTTCAAGAGAATTAATACAAATTATGCTTAATCTTGTAAGATCTTCTAATTTCCTTACGTTCAATTCCATTTAGGTACATAAAAGCTAATTTCCTTGTAAATTTCATTTTTATTTATTTCGTTGAATGGAAGAAAATTAAAAAAGTTTTTATTTTCCTGCACAAATTTTCACTAACAAAATAAATAAAAGCAAGAAGAGAATTAAAATTTTATCTTAGGTAAATGAACTTACTTTACGATTCTCACATTGACGGTTAAAGTATCAGAGCAAACGAGTATTGTGAATAAAATGTTCAGCGACAAAATTAAGACGAAAGTTGAAGACAGAAAAAATCGTAAATAAATTACAAAAGTGTAAAAGTAACAACAAAATGCAAAAGGATCGTCTTTTGAATATAAAGAAAGAAATTTTCTTTATTCTTCTTAAGCTCGAAGCGAGAGCAAAAATATTTGTTGCAATAGCAGCAGATTTTTAAATTATTTGTTCCGTCATTTGTAAAACTAATTTTCATTGCAAACCACACAAATTGTGGATAAAAGAAGAAATTTGAATTTAAAATTAAAAGTAATTAAAGAGAAGCTGAGTAGAGGAGTGAAGATCTAGAAATTGGAAAAGGGAATGTTGACATAACGATCCCATTAGAAGACTGTATTATTTATGTAACTTGAATAAAAGCAATTACTTCCCCGCAGCCAGCATAATTACGATTTTTTTAAGGTTTAATAATGTTCAACAATGTATGTAAGAGTCTCATTTAACATTTTCTTCGTCTCGTGCTTATATTTTTATCTCTCCTTTATTCTGTACTTTTGCATCACAAAGCATAATTAAAATCCATTCAGCACCTAAAGACATTATGAAAATTGTTCACGAGACTTTTTTATGCTATACAACCTGTTTTTAATTTTATTCTGTACCAACTTCCAATTAAAGTCACAAATGACTCTTTTAAATCATGTTAGGGTTGACTATTGGACATGAAGAAAACGAAAACAAATGTAAGCGAGAGTTTGTTCATGTTGTCAGAATAATAAAAGCAAGATTTAATTTCATATCTGCATATATTTGTTATGTTTCATCGGTCTTATATTTTATAGTTGACTTGAATATCAGAAAATGTGATTGTTGATGTTGTTGCTGGACTTTTATGTAGTTACGACCATAGTTAGATGTGTCAACCCATGTTCTGACAGTTTATTTTGATTTGAATAATTGTTTTGGCAAAGCAAAAAAGCAAACAGTGAAAAATAGAAGAATCCTATCGGAGAGTGCAGGACGACAAAAAACAATTTTTTTATCCCTTTTTTGGAAAGTCGATGTAATGGAAGATGCGAATTTGAGGACTAACCAAGCACACATTCAAAAAAGCAATAAATTATCAAGGGCATGTCCAACATGAAAAAGGATGAAAATAAAATTTTCCTTCAATTTGTTTCTTATTTTGTTTGAGTTGGTGTTGTGGCTTCCGTATCTGCTATAACATTTCTTTTTCACTCGCCTTTTCATGATCGTTGAAAGATTTTTGGAGTGTGGAGTTCAGTTTCAAGTTTATTTGTTTTACTCTTAACGTCAACCTACAACTTATCCTATGAGATTTCGTTCTGGTTTTTCGGTGATGGGTTTTATGTTTTCGATGAAAGATTTTCAGTGGCGTCTTACAATGAAATATTTCATAATAAAAAATATCAGAAGAATCATAAACACAAGTTTCGTTTACGTAAAAAAACAAACATTCAGAAAGAAGTCAGAAAATAAGCCAATTAATATCAAATAAACCTTATTGACATTTATAGCTTCCAAGTCATTGCGTTATTAGCTTCAATTAATTGACATCATTGCTCTCAATTTAATCTGGTTTTCCTAATCCTTCATATTTATTTATTTACCAGTTGAAACTTGAAGTGAGAAAGTCAAGAATGAAACAAATATGAAATAAATTGAAGGCCATTTAGATCAAATACGGATAACTTTATCCTTCATCTTGGAAATCCTAAATCAACTCAATAAATCAACTTCATTACTTCTCTTTAGATTGAGTAAAATTAGCTATTCTCGTTACAATTTCCAGCTGTTGTCTTAGATGTGTTGAGTGTTACTTTCAATTTCTTTCCTTCTCGACAGTCCACTTTCCTTCATGCAATTCAAAGTTAATCCGAAGGATTTATTTTGATAAATTGATTCATATTCTTTATGCGACAGAATTGAGAATCGCCCTAGTTTTCTTTTTCTGACATCTGAATACTCGTAAATCTGAATCGAAGAAAGTTACTGCAATCTTACCAGGATATCAAATTGATCATTTCATTTCATTCCACTTTACGTTCCTTCTTCGTTTCAATCTAAATCAGGTCTGACAAATATCTTTTCATTCCGGAATATCAGAAATACCTTACAAAGCTATAAATATTGAAGCAATCTCAAGTGATTTTGCCTTTGATTGGCATTTGATTCGAGAAATGTTGCAGAATTTAAGTTTTATTCTTTCAAATCCAATTCATAATAAGCTGATATAAGACACCAATAATTTTTTCTTCGTTCTTTTGAATAAGAAAACCATTTTTCAGACATCTCGCATTACATTTGAGTGTTTGATTATAATCTTGTTTAGTTCCATAATTTTATTCGATTTTTCTTACTCACTTGTGTATCATAAGTTAGAGTGATGAGTGATAACCTGTTAAGGAACGAAATTTATTTAGACATTTTATTATAAAAAAAAAGAAAACAACGAGGATGTTCATAACAGATTTTATCAAATAAATAAATTAATTTTGTCTGAAATTAACACGAAATATGCTTGACATTGTGGTTCTTGTCAGGATTCTTGTTATGATCCCGAGATTATTATTTATCAGACACTCATTTATTATTCGTGAATGAATATTTATTAATGCTTATCTTGAGTCTCAAAACAAACATTAATAAATTAGTGTTTAAGGCCCACGCGGATCGTGTGATGATAAATGTTCTTTTTTTATTTTATATGAAATGCCAGAGATGAAGAACGAATCATGTGGAGGAGAGAAATAAAAAATCTTCACTGCATATTTTTCAGCATTAGTATGCGCTTTTTCCAATCATTTTATGCTTCTTTAAATTTTATATATTATTTTTGACAATGTTAGTCAATCGATTAAACAACACCTCGAAAAATTTCGTGACTGTATACTTCATATTCAGAATTTAAACGAGCTTCTCGTATCAGTTTTCAGCTCATTGCATCATCATAACATAATTCATTTCAGAGGTGGAGAAAGAAAGAATTCTTTGAAAACGTTGGTAACAGTGAGTAGCAGCATAGACGTCAAATGCGATGTTATGTGTGGTCGAATCATGAAAATTACAAGATAATTAGCTGACTGCAAATATTTGTGGATTTGTGGTTTCCTTTTTGTTGATGCTTTAAATGATAGATTAAAGAAACCACACAGCAAATTATTTTTTATAAAGACTTTAATTAAATTCATCCTTAAGGTTTATGAATTCTTCTCATTTCTTCCTTTTAATTCTCATTTATATTTTTCTGAGGCTTTCTTTCTATCATCAAAACTATATAAATAGGTTTTGACATTTATCATAAGTATTTTAAAACACTCGAAGGGAAAATCATTGAAAGATATGAGAAAATTTAAATACTTAAGAGTCGAAAATGCTCATGAATTATTCATCCGCCAATAAACCTTCCCTCGCATCTCCAAATAAAAAAATTCCAAACAGAAATTGATTGAAATTTTCATTCAAATAGGAGTAATTTTCAATACACATTACTGAAGTCAATTTGATTATATTATGAAGAATTTCAATGGTTCTCGTAGTTCCATGGTTTAATCAAGATTCTTTAGTTAAATCTTTAAATGTAAAGAAATATCAAACAATTATCAATAATTGTGAGCATAATTTTCTTATTGATTTTTAAATTTTAAGAAGAAAATTTATTTCAAAATCCGACATGACTCATCAGTTAAGCAGTCTGCTTCAAAATTATCCACACGCTGACGATGTTAGTGTAATGTTTTATTTATTTTTCAAATGAAAACTTCACATTTGGTATGAACAATTTTGACTACATTTTTAATGCCCTAACTATGGGCGCGAAAAATATCTCGGTTAATGACTTCGTTCCATTAGGTGAAGCAAAATTAATTTTTTTATTTCTAACATTAATGACAGTTAAAAATTAAAATGTTTTTAAGCTTTCTTTTTTCTGTTGATAGAAAAATCAACATGACAACCATAACTCATAAAGCCGTAATTTTCACTCGTGGAAGATGTTAGGGCTATTTAAATATTTATTTTTAGGAAAGACATAGAATGATTCATGAAGAATTTTCCATTTTTATGATGCATTCATAATTCAATTAATTAAAATTTATGCAATTATTCAAGGAGCATGTTTGCCATCATTTCTATCAACATCAACATAAACAGTTACTTATCTTTTATTTGTCTAGGAGTTTGTGTAGATGTTTGTTTTCCAGCAATTTCCCTAATAGATACTTTTTGCCTCATAAATAAATAAATTGCTAAACACTATTCGCTTTACCTTACTTTGCATGAATCGGTCGTCACAAACAAGTTAGAAGAACCATTGAACACATCAATCGTAAAATATTCGTTGAAATCGAAAATTATTGTTGACTTTAATCACATTCAACAATTTCACAGAATCTTAAATGTCACTCACTTCGTATTGTGTTTCTTTATTATTTATTAAAATGGTTGCGTTAAATAACATTAAAAATTATAACAGAAATGTGTTCTCATATGTCAATCAGATTAAAACTTAAAAAAATGAACTCTTTGCTTATTTTTGATGAATTGCATTTATGTGAGCAAACATAATCTTTTATCTATTTAATTCTAGATTTCAAATTATTGTTGTAAAATATTTACTTTTATGGAAAGAATGTTTGAAGCAAAAATTTTAAATTAGAAGCATCATAAAAAGAATAAAGCTCATCAAAATTTTTTATTATCTTCATCTCCGTTCATCTCAAAAGTCACTTCTTAAAGCTTTTATGTCCTTTAATAAATTGTGCAAATTTATTTATCTTCGTTTCCTAGGCTTGGAAGGCTTTATTGTTCTTCATCACTGAAAACTTTTCTCATCGTCTTATTCAAATTCAGAAACTTGCTAAGCAGTGAATCTTCTCGGCTTTTCATGTCAAAACACATTTCACAGATGCTCTTCTTGAAAGAAATATTAGCTTGTCTTTCCCACCATTGACTAAACTCAATACTTATAAGGTGAATAAAACAATTTTCTAGAAAATGAGAGAAGTTCCCTACGAAATGCCTCATCCGGTTGGGATGAGTTTAAGAAAAATGATGATGGAAAAATTTATAATTTCCGGCGTTATCAACGACTTTCTGTGTTATTGATCCACCCGGTTGTTTAAAGCGAGAAAAATTTAAAGTATCAACATTATTTGAAATGAAATGGTAAGAAAAGGGAATGGAGATAGAAATAATCCTTCAGATAAGAATTCTTGTTCATGTAGAGAATTGTTAAGTATACGAAACTTAGTCAACTTTTCCTTTATTAAAATTATTTCACTACCACTTCAAATATTTTCACGAAAATGTTCAAACTTAAACACGATGTTTGTCTTTTGCCTTTTAATCTGTCACAAATTAAGTTAATTCTCATTTGCATAACATCAGAGACTTCTCATTAGAAATATCTATTTATTTGCACTCCCAACAATTCCACCAACATTTCATATATTTAAATGTTTTCAGTGTTTCAGGAATTAAAAGATAAAATAATTTGAGATTCGGAAAGATGTGTCACACAACTCTCTCAAGAAAGAATATTCAAACAATGAAAAACATCTTACTTAATTTCGGGGGCGTCTTAAAGTGAATGATGATTGCTGTGTCTTGTCGGAAAGTAATAGAAATGTGTACACATAACAATCATACATCATTTTGCTGTTTTTCAGTTCTCAGATCGGGCTTGTTGGTGAAATGATTTATATTTTTCGTGCGTTTTTTGAATATAAGATTGCTACGCGTTCTTAAAAATTCACATTTTTAGCATTTTTCAGAGTCTCCCCTCTTATTTTTTTGATCGTAAACGCTTTAAAATATAAAATAAAAGATTTTCCGGCTTTCGTGATAAATGTTATATTTTGTTTACGCTGTTTACTGTTGACAGTACGCTTAACATTATTCCGAATAAATTCATTACTGGGTCGCTATTCTATTTTCATATGAATCCTCCATCTGCATATTCACTTCTGTTATTGTATAAAATAAATTTATGTGCAGATATTTATTGAAATGCAGTTGAACGAAACTACACCCAACATAGACTTCAAAAAAAATCTTTGGAATTTAACAACACATTTAATTATTTTTAACCGTTTAAATCCTTTATTTTCCATGTTTCCTCGCTTGTTTTTCAAAATAACTTCCGTGTGACATTATACGACTGATTCATTTTTAATCTAAACACATGAATTTGCATATAATTTCCATTACAAGATCATCACTGCATAAATTTTCTCGACTTTTCTAATGCTGTAAGTTTAAAGCGCACAAAAATTTGCGCCTATGAATTTATTCTAAGTATCTAATCTCTTTAGTGAACTTTTGAATAAATTAAAAAGTTTTTCGTAAATTACTTATCAAAAATGAATTTTTATTTCTTATATTTTTCAGGACCACCAGGACCCCCGGGAAAGCGAGGAAAACGGGGGAAAAAGGGAGACTCAGGAGACATTGGAAGTCCTGTAAGTAGATCAAAGTATAATAAAACTTGATAAATTAATCATTTCCTTAATATATTTTGCAATTTTTGAATTCTAAATAGAATTTGATTTATGAAACAACAAAATGTTGTGACAATTTACTTTAGAATGAACAAATATTTTGTTATGAATATCAACTGTTGTATATCAGATAATCCTTAAAAAAGTATGTTAAAATGATAATATTTAGATATATGTTCAAGAATTGTTAGATATCAACTTTTTAACTTTTTAGTTTAAAACATTTCATTTTAAATTTCAGGGTGCTTCCGGGCCAGCTGGCAAAAATGGTTTTCCGGTATATAAAACACGTTATATAGAAGATGAGATCCAAAATTGCTTTCTTAACCCTTTTCCCTTTCTTTAATCTATCTTCAGTGTTATTCTGACTGTGAAAGCCATATGGTTTAATCTTCCGTCACATTCTAAACTTTGTCCTTTGCTATTTTCATGTTTTATCAGTGAACTACTTCCTTTTGTCCCACAACTTTCTCTTTCCCTCCATAATATCTGCTTTATATTTGTTAGACATTAATTATAACAGGAGTTGTCTACAACGTTTTACAATTTAACATCACTAATTTAGTTGCTAAATTATCCGAATGATATTGAGGAAATGTTGCGAATAATTTCGATAATCTATCTAAAAATAAAACATTTTTTTTAAATTGAATTAAAAAAGATATAAATTAAAACCCCAATGTAGAGGAAGAGCTTCCAATTTATGTTAGAATCCCTGATCTGTGCATTTATTGAGGATTTTCTGTGTTCGTGTAGCAATAAATAGTGTTCACTTTTCCACGCCAGAAAAGTTTCTTAAATAAAACAATGATGAAGTTTTGTTTTCCCCTTTCAACATTTTTTCTGAGATACATTCTTTTACATGTTTTAATTTCGTCTACAAATATATGAATTCTCCTTATTCTTAGCATGCAACTTTTATATCTTCTTTTCGTTCTTATTTTAAATACTTTTCCCAACATTTTGTAGATGTTCTTAAATGCTTTCGGGCTTTTTATTTCTTTAATAAATTCGTTCTTCTCAACTTAAAGTTCATTTCTTTTCTGCATTCTCTTTTTCATGTCAACAGGGCCCAATTGGATTGGATGGACCAAAAGGTGAACCTGTAAGTATTTCAGATACATATCTGATTATATTAATCGACTTGAAGCAAATATCTGCAAGGGAAATATATTCATCTACTTTCTTTGATTATTTTTAGGGAAGGCAAGGTGATAAAGGACAGAAAGGTGACGGTGGAGTGAGTCAGGGAATTGACGTCTTCTCAACAGTTAAGGTAGACATATTCAAAGCCCTTTTTATATTTTGTACGACATTCTTATTTGCATTTCAAATTTAATTAGAAAATTAAGAGGAGTTTCGTAATATTGATATTCTCTCTTCCTAATTTCATTTTGAAAACAAATTTTAAAAAATCAGGGACTTAAAAGATCAATTACAACACTACGAGGTGGTTCATTAGGATATGCTGAAATAGTCGCTGTTAAGGTATCCCTTCATTCGTAATTATTGATTGTTTAGTTGAGTTTTGCTTTGTCGTAGTTTTTATTTGTTAAATAATGTTTGAAAAGCTTTGAATTATAGAATTCAGCTTAGGCTTTTGTTAACATTTTTCAATATAAAATTACGCAGAGGTTTTTGAAGCTTTTATTTCGGGTATTTGCATCGACAATCCTAGTGGTTTGAATTAATTTCGTAGGCATGGAAAAGTTAGTATTCGGTTACAGAGTAAACAAAAAAAAAAACTCAAATCACGCTTAGTTTGCACTTACTTACGCAAATGTGGAAATATATTGATGCAGCACACAAAAGTTTGATTGTTTGCTTTCGAATTCCGTTGATGAGAGGTTTACAATTCACTTCAAATCACATAGCACATAGCACAATATTCTGCATTGATATCAAGGTTTTTCATATGCAAAAAAGGATATTTATCTAGAAAATACATAAAACATTTGAATTCCAAATCTTTGTGAATTTTTTTTAATTTATTGCAATTTCACTTAACCAAACTTTTGCGATTTTGTTTTTCTCCTTTTTTTGCATAATTTAACTTTGATTGTTTAATGTGGATGCTTTTCGGATTTTGGTTGTTTCGCACACATAAAAATTAAATAACTGCCTTCGGAAAATTCTTGAAACTTGAAGGGGTTGCAGGCTGCGGGACATAACGTTTCAGCTGCTGCTATAATTCAGTTGAAAGTGAGTAGTGAAAATCTTAATAAAAACAAACTGGCATGCAAAATATCTGAACAATGCAGTAAAATATTATGAAAGTGAATCATCCATTTCGTGAAGGTTGGAAGCAGGAAACTTTTCCTTTCAATTCACTTATTTTCATAACAACAGCAGAAATATATTTGTAGTTATAATGAAAGAACATTAATTTATTTATGCATGTTTAAACTTTAGCATATTTTTGCAAAATATATTTAAATGTAAGAAATTGAGTTGAATTTATGTCTGTTTAGCTTGTTGTAGTATAAATCATATCTTTAAATGATAAAATATTAATGCATTTACTTTGTTCTGTTCACTTTATCATTCTAATTGACTTAGGGCGAGCCTGGTGAACCGGTAGGCAAAACAATAATTTAAATTTATGAATCATGTTTTATTAACAAACACTAATTTTTGAAGGGTCCGCCAGGTCCTATTGGGCCAGCAGGAATTCCAGGACACGACGGACGACCAGGAGTTCAGGGTGAAGAAGGTGGACCAGGACAAACTGTAATTCGACAAACTTTTTATTACATTAAATTTTAATTTTATGTAACAATGAATTATTTGTAGGGCCCACCGGGACCACAAGGAGAGAAAGGAGATATTGGTCCAATTGGAGAGCCTGTAATTATATTCAATTCGTAAAACAAAATGAATTTTTAACTAATGATTTTCTTAATTTTAAGGGTCCTAAGGGAGATCCCGGCGATAAAGGCGATCGAGGCTACACAACGACACTAAACAGCGATCAGTTCCCTACAGGAATTATTGAAGGTCCACCAGGTCCACCTGGTAACTCTTACACATGTACAACTTAAAACATTTTTAACTATCCTTGAAACTTAATTTCAGGCCCAGCTGGTCCACCTGGTCAAAAAGGCGAAGCAGGTATTTAATATTTACCTTCATTTTCACTTCTAAATGCTAATCGTAATGAAAAATAATCTTGTTTGTTAATATCGTGTCATAAAGGTCCCCAAGGCGAGAAAGGTCCACGTGGAAAACGAGGCAAAAAAGTGAGTAAAAAATGGAAAAACCAAAGTTGTCATGTGAAGATTAAAGGATCGCATGAATAATGTTTTATCTTATTGTCTCACATTTGCAAGATCTGATTTTGCATGATTTATGGTTTGAATCACTTCATTTATCACCTTATCATCATCATCATCATCATCATCATAATTAAAGTCATTTGAAAAAGCATCCAATGTTGGTGACTGTTATCCGCTATAAATTAGCAGAATGATTGAGTGAATTATTATAATTAATCTATTTCGATCATTTCCGTAGACATAAACGCGTGATAATTTAATTTATGATGAATAGATTTTACAATAATTTGAACACTCATGTGAAATGTAAATAAATTAAATTTTTATTGTCTTCATTGCATGTTATTTAGATAAACTCATCTTGCACAGTTTGTAATTCACTCATTCATAAATTTATTTCGCAATCTCACTTACGCTTTAATCAAACAGTTTTTAATTTCAGTAGACAAAAGTGCAAAAGTCTTAATTTACTAAAATATTCAATGAGATATTTAGAAGCTCAAGCACATGTAAAAAGTATTCCTCACTGATAAACACACGTAGGTTGTGGGTCGACTTCACTACTGCACATCTAAAGCAAACAGATATGAAAGCAAAAGAACAAAAGAATAAAATAAAGAATCATGTTGACAAACAAATTAAATAAATTTGGTTCGTAAATTTAACAGCTAAATATTTTATGACGATAGAATTTAATTTGCCACCCACAATGCAATGAATGGAATTGTCGCACAATAATAAAAAAAAAGGCGAAAGACCGCACAATTCTATTAAAAAATTATTTGGTTTTGAGTTCACTGAGTCTTGCAGATAATTTTAATATGTGTAGTGTTGCTGTTGTTGAATTTTATTTGTGGAAAGAATTGAAAACTTGTATTTCTGTTGTGTAAGTAATTGAGTCGTGTTGTTGCTTTTTTAATATTTTCCTTTTTCTCTTTCGCAAATTATTGCATTTTATTAATAATGTTTCACAACTAAATCTAACAGCTTGGAAACAAAGACGATGACTACGACGAATCTCCTGCACCACTGACGATGCGAGGGCCTCCAGGTGAACCTGGTAAAGATGGACGTGATGGAAAAGATGGAATGCCAGGTGATATTTAAATAACTTAAACTTTTTAATCTTATCTAGGAGAGTTAAATTTATGTTTTCACACATAATTAATTCAGGACTGAAAGGTGACAAAGGAGATATCGGAGCTTCTGGTTCATTAGGTCCAAGAGGGTGAGAATTGCATACAAAAAAGTAATTTTTATCTTTATTAAAATTGAATTTATAATTCAGACTCGATGGTATGCCAGGAGAACCAGGAATTGAAGGTCCACCTGGGTTACCAGGACAACAAGGACCATCCGGAGACAAAGGAGATAGCGGTGAATATAAATGACATTGACAAATGAATGAAGATGTTATGTGAGTTAACATAAAATATTATTTTTTGTTCAGGTGATATTGGACCACCAGGTTTGATGGGCCCACCAGGTTTGCCAGGTAAGTGAACACAATCTGCTGTATATTTAATAATCTACCACAAATATCTTCTTGTCGAAGGCCCCCCTGGATATCCTGGTTCAAAAGGAGACAAAGGTGATAGAGGTGATTCGGTGAGTGAATCTTTTGTTAAATATTTATCATCAGCAAAACGACAATTCAAACAATTATTCATCGTCTATGTAGAAATATCGTAAAATGCGAAGGCGACAAGACGAACATGGAATGTCTGATTCACCATACTTAGTCCCAGATATCGTAAGATATTCTGTAAAAATATTCGCTACTCTCGTATTCAACTCAATTATTCATTTACAGTCTGTAGGACTTCCCGGACCGCCAGGTATGTTTAAAAATATTTGAAGTGAAGTCAAGTTGCAGTTAATCCTAATCTTGTGAAAAACTTTTCTTTACTGCCGCACTAATTTACTCATAGGACCACCAGGTTGGCATTAAATTAAACTTTCCCTTCTTGTCATAAAACTCATATCTTATTTTTCTTAATTTAACAAATAGGACCTCAAGGACCACCAGGTAATTTGGAATACTTGTAAAACATAATTTTAAAGCATTTTTCAAAAGAAGTTGAAAGTTTTCCCTTGAAATTAACAGACAAATACTCGCAAAACTCTTCTTAATAATTCAATGCCACAAAACAAAAACATCATAAAATGAAAACTCTCCACTTTAAAACTTTTGTGAACTTCCATTAAAAGTTGAAAGAAGATACTTTTAATCTTCTAGGCAGTGCTTTAAAACAACATTTTATTATGAAACTTTAATTTCATTTAAATGGCTTTTATTTCTACATTAGGACGACCAGGACCGATAGGATTTTTGGGCCCACGTGGTAATGATGGCAAGAAAGGTGACCGTGGATATAAGGGAGAACCTGGACCAATGGGATTGCCTGGTCCAATGGGATTCAGAGGTGACAGCGGTAATACTGGGCCCGTGGGAAAACCTGGATATCCTGTAAGTTTTTTAAATAAAATAAAACAAAAGCAAATGACATTTTAAGCTTCTATTTACTAACAAAAGCTAATTGTATTTTGAAATTTGTTTTCTTCCTCAGGTTCGGAATACTAATTATTACTAGAATCAAATTACAAATCTGAAATCTCTGTCTAGAAAATCGAAGCTTTCAGTTCAAAACTTACTACCCAATGTTGTATAAAAAATAAAAAGATAACAAAAAGTCAGATTGCTTTCCATTTAATGGTGAAGACAAATGGAAGCGAATTTAAGACGTTTCTGTCAGTAAGCGCTAGATCAAATTTTAATTGGAAGCTCCGATCCATTACGATAGATAGCAGAAAGTAATCTAGTTGAGATAAAAATACTTAGTTAGGCCTTTTATAATTACCCATAAATCTCTTCACCCCACGGTTATTTATTACAATCTTGACAAAAAATAAAATAAATAAGAGTGCTGATCATCTGCTGACAACTTTTTCTTTTATTTCTTCCTTGCATTTAAATTGTTGTATATAATAGAAAAAAAAAGAAATTCATGAGCATAAATCACGTGTACGATAAAACACAAACACAAGAAGTCATTTAAGGCTTGTTCTCGTTAAAGATGTTATCAACGTAATCTCTTGTGGAAAAGAAATGAAAAGAGAAAAGAAAATATTCTCATATGATTAAAATCTTTAGAAATGCCTGAAACTTAGTCTGAAATGATGCGAAAGTTGTATAAAGCGATCTAAAATCCAACACAAATCTATTTTCTCTTTCAATGGCATTGAATCTGTCATCTCATTTAATGTTAAGTACACAAGTGCAATGATTTTTTTTTGAAGAAGTGCTCTGAATCGTTAAAACATAAAACAGAACTTCATTGCTCAAGGCAATAATATTTGAAATCAAATTCTCTTTCATCATTAACTAAAATATGTAAAAGGACTGGGGGTTTGTTTTTTCATTAAATATTCTCGAAATTGAAGCAGAGAAAAAAGGAAACTTAATCTAACCATCTTATCCACTTGTAAAAATCTTCTATTCTCGCTTATTTGTGTGCCATGAGGAAATAGAATATCTAAGAGTTTTCACAAATCGTTACTCTCAATTTTCAAGTAAAATTGCTATTTCATCTGATAAACATCATTAAGGACTGACTACAGTCAATGTCATCATCGCAATCATTTTTGTCGAATTTTTTTCTACTTTAATAATTCATTAAAATTTCTTTTATTTCATAACTTTTCAATATATACAAATACGTATATAAGTGTATGTACGTTTAATTATGATTAAAATTAATATTTTCTCTGCTTTTATTAAAAAGAAAGAAGAATTTTTAATTATAATTTTTGCTTGAAAAGAAAGCCGTCCCACAGTGGATAATTACAAGAAACAATTTTAGCAAACATCACAAATCATAATCTGTTATCATCATATTCATTGAAGAAATGTTTACGACATTCATCATTTAATTGAGTGAATATTCAATAGATATTTCGAAGAAAAACAGATATTGAATATTTTTGAATATTTCTACCTACAGTAAATACTGTGCCAACATTAAATATGTAATAACAAATGTAACTAAATTTCTTGTAAGACTCAGCTGAAATTTTTTCTGTAAACAATATTTTATGTCGTTTAAATGTAAATATTGAGAACAGAATTTCTGCTCTTAAATCTGTCTATAATTTTATGCTATTATCATATCATTACCACTCTTCTGCCGCGTGAGTTATTATGTCTTGTGTGCGTGAGTGTGTTAAATAATGAAGATAAATTAAGAAAAAGCGATAAACAAGAAAGAACGACGATGTTTTGAGAGGGGGATAGGAAGAAGAAATATTTTTGCAATTTAGCGTTCAAGACAAAAGAAGAAATGAAATTTTTCAAACAGGAAATAAAAACTGTTGAATCAATGGCATTACATCCCCCTTTTCTATTTCGATTACGGAGGAAAGAAATTAATCTTGAAGATATTCTTCAACAATTAAATAATAAGCATTTATGATGATTTATGTTGTATAAACGATATGTAAGTGATAGTTAAATCACTTGAAATTTGACCCCATAGTTTGATGTTTAATGGAATGAAACAATGTATCTTCACATTACACAACTTATACAATCTGTTAATGAACAACAATGTATTTTTTACAACCATTGAAAGTGTGAAAATACCTAAGATATAAAACAAAAGTAAAGAGCGCAATGAAATCGCAAACAGACAGAATGTAATTTTATAATTTATGTTTCATAACAAAAACGTAAAAAAAAGTGAGAGAAGTTGCAATAAAAGTCGAAGGAAACGATAAGAAAGTCCATTAAAAATAATAAAATGATTGTTCCGGGGGAAGTTTTTCTTCTTTTTCACAATTACGAGTAAGCATTGAGGCTTACTTTGAGGGAGAATTGTATTAATTTGTGGCTTTAAATTATTTTAGCTGTCTCAAATATTAAGCAATTGTTTTCCGTTTTATAGGCGATTTAAATTAATTTACAGTCAGTTTTATTCTGTGTTTAGCGTTTACATTAAAATTCTGTTCAGAGAAGGCAAGAAATAAGATAAATCTGTCCCACTTCCATGCTTTTAACATTTAAATCAAAATAGATTTTTCTGACACAAGGGTTCATTTCTAAAACTTAGTCTTCTATCATGAGATAAATGCTTAACTATAAACTCTGTTTGGTAAGTGTTGTTGTTTTAAGTTACAAACACATTTTATTTTGCACCAAATAAAAGAATAACTTCAGAAATCATTTATTCACATTATTTGCTTTATTATTTCATTGAATTTCTCGAAAATCCATTGCATGTGCTAAGTTAATCATTGCATATGAGAACTAAATTGCATTTTTGATTTATGGGTTTATTGATTAAGATTTTACTTCACCGGACAAGTAATATTGACGGTTTTTATCCTTTCATCTTTCTTTTCGTATTTTCTCAATTGATATATTAAAAAACTACCAGGGACCACCGGGATTGGATGGAATGAAAGGTGCCCAAGGCGAAACAGGAATGAAAGGGGAAAGAGGCGATCCAGGCTTACCAGTAATGTTTCAAAAATATTTAATTAATAGCAAATTTCTTTAAAACATCATCTCACAATACAGGGTACTGATGGGATACCAGGACAAGAAGGACCTCGAGGTGAAAAGGGTGGCAAAGGCGAAGCAGGCCCATCTGGAAAACGTGGTCGAAAAGGTGACCGAGGCGAAAAAGGTGAACAAGGAGTTCCAGGATTAGATGCACCATGTCCATTAGGTTCTGATGGTTTACCGCTCCCTGGTTGCGGTTGGAGACCACCAAAAGTAATCTTTAATCAAAATTCCTAAAACCGCATGATGCATGTTTACATAAATAAATGAATATCATTGAGAGAGACGTCAAATGTTAAGCATAAAAAAAGAAGTGAGAATTTGCTGAAGAACATTATTTAATGAAAACCTTTTCTGACAGGAACCTGTTATTCACACACCACCGCACAAAGACTATTTGCCTGATATAACTCAAACAGAGAATGAGAGTGATTATCGAGAGGAAGATGAAGGTCCCGGTGGGCCGGAAGATTACGAAGACGATTATCATGAAAATGGAATGCAAGACAGGAAAAAATAAACATCACAATGAAAGTTATTTTGGTACAATGGAAGAAGATTTTAAGAATAATTCTGAGCTATATTTTTGTCGCTGACAAAAAATGAATTGAATTTATGAAGTAGATTTTTTATTACTTTTTCTAAATATAACAAGAGAAGAGAAATTTTATTACCCGAATTCGCATTAAATTTAAAAGCGTTCTATTCATACTTTCTCATGTTTTCTCTTTATACATTCAAATGGCTTGTGCAATCACTGGCATTTCCTCAAAAGTTTTCCACTTCTATAAAATCTATTAAATGTAGAGCAAAGAGACAATAATAAGGATTTGAAACTGAATCTTGATGTAAGAAGATTATTTATAATGAATGCTTTTGTAATCTGGTCTGAATCACTTTTACACCTTGTGTCAAAACCTTTATCATTCAGATATATCATTGAATAAGTACGAAAACATATAGCAAAGTGACTATTTCGGATTGAAAATTATTATACTATGTATGACAACAAAAAAAATCTAATGCTGAACGATGAAGGACCTTGTCAAGTGACATATCTAATAAATAATCCTTCTTGGAAATGATATTATCAGATTCTTTCATTCAGTTTTTTTTTATATCTAAATCTTCAGGTTCGTCTTGAATTTATGTCTACCTAGGACGAGGTGATAAAAAATATTTTATTATTTGCATGGAGTCACAAATCATTAAAACAGATAAATATATAAAAATGGATGAAAATTTTGAGCCCAAAAATTTTCTTTTTAATATCAAACAATAAAAGAAAATTTAGAAAGATTGAATTTCCCAGATGATATTTTATTTTCTCGATTTTAAGTGAAACTCTTTTTGGTATTTATGATCTACAACAGTTAGCGGTTTCCTTTTTTGTAATGAGAAGTTCTTATCATATTTTTGAACCGAATTTCAAGATTGATATCAAACATACCAAGGAATTCAGCGAATGTTTTATTATGCACGGATTGTAAATGTTTTACAACATTATTTTGGTTTCTTGATATATATATTTTCTCGCTTGTGGATATTGAGATGCCTTCAAAATCTAAATACCACCATAAGGGAAGGTATTACGAGTCTGAATCGAGATAATTTAAAAAGCAATCTTATTAAGCTCCATAATAGGGGCCATTTCTTACGATTTTTTCGATTTAAGTTAAGGTAAAGAAATCAAGAGTGAGAGCTACGTGACAAATGAAATTGACTTCCAAATTACTGAGTATTTTACATTTTTCTTTACTTTCCCTTTCGTTTTACCTTTCAAATTACTTACATGAAATCGCTCTATCAATTTCCTTGTTTTCATAGAATTATCCTCGTCCTTATTACATCATTTTACCTTTTTCTTATTCTAAAGTATGTAATAGCTTGTAATCTTTAACATGCTTACTCAACTTGATAACGGCAATAATATGTAATTCACCCCCAACACCCTCACAACCCTGTTTGTTTCCAAAAAAAAATAGAAAAAGAAAACTCAGCTATAAAAGATTTTCTTAAAGAAATGTGAAAGAAAAAAATAAATTTGCATTCAGATGAAACGACCATAATCATAGTCTTGTCTTGAATGTGCTTAAATCGTGCTAACGTACCAACAGCAGCAGAAAGAAGAATAAAAATTACATTTCTTGTCGTTCATATTTTTACACTTTTCTTTCACGTTTAAAAAAAGACGAGGGGTGCTGATAATGCCTTGTCGTCTGTCGCCATGGAAAAAAGATACGAAAGACGAAAAAAGATTTTTCCACACAATATTTTCATAAATATTTCCATGAATTCATAAGCAGAGAGAATGAGGGAAACGAGATATGCAGAAACGATTGTATCATATTGTTGTTGACGGTAATCACTTTAGAAATTATGTTGTGTAAATTCTGTTTATTCAGTGAAACATCATGAGAAGGAAGGAAATTGTTTGCTGCTTAAAATATATGAGACATCATCATAAACGTCAATTGTGCATGAGGCGTTCAATTAAGTCTGATCTTGTTTCAGGTTCACGAAGCTGGAAATGGAGATGAGCATATAGAATCTTCTGCAATAATGAGAGAACACGAAAGACAAACGCTTTCATTCAATTAATGGTTAATTAAGTTAAGAAACTTATTTCTACAGATTGTTGAAACATTCATGATTGATGGAATTCATATGAAATGTTAATTCAGACTTTGATTACATGTACGAATTCGAACGATAGTTTGAATACTTCATGAAACAATCAGCAAGGCATAACATTTGTGTTACAAGTTTTCACATTCACACATCTAATCTTATTGGCTATGATGTACATATAATGCTTAAGAAAGATTTTCTAACACTCTTAGAGCAAGAAATAATATTAAAGAAAACATCTGGGAATCATGTATCTATCACCCTCAAGCTCGAAGATATTCGGCAACAAACCCGTTGCGAATAAATAAAAAAAAGAAAAACTTTTTTCTCTTTTGATCCACGAAAGGAAATAAATGGAATCGTTTTTGTTGCCTCTTGATTTTCCTGTGTATCAAATTACTCGATTTTCCCTTTAACAATATTTAGCATCGACTTAGAACAAAGAAGTGTCGAGAAGAGAGAATTACGAACAAAATGTGTTACAAAATGATATTTAATTACAACAAATTTGTGTTGTATATTTTCTTCTTAACTTCTTATGCGAGTATAAATAAATTATGCAGGTTGAGATGAAAGGAAAATGCGAATTGAACATTTAATAAAGTGGGGAAATAAAGAGTCAATAAATTTCATCTATAAATTATTAGTTTCAAAAAATATGCACATGTTGTTTACTTGTAAAGTTGTTCATTTACGACATGTTCAAGTTACAAACGTTACGGTTTTAAGTAGCATAAGTTATGAACATAATGAATTTAGCCATATTGCAATAAATTGAAAGAAAAAATTTTACATCTTAGATTAGACTAAAATTAAACTAATTTAATATCCTTAATATTTCAGAGATATCGAATTGCATATTTGTTACATTTCAAGTAAAAAAACAAATTCACT